GCAGACGTCGACCGGAGCGTTATGACCTCGGGGTACCTCGAACGGTAGTCCACAACGAGAAGGAAGTCCTGGCCATCTAAGTAGAACAAGTCAGCAGCAACCCGCTCCCATGGCACTGAAGGGGTTTCGGTGGCAAGCATGGGTTCGCAACGCTGAACTCGGGTGCTCGCACACGCAGTACAGTTCTCAACGGCAGTCTTGACCTGGTTCTTGAGGTCCGGCCACCACACAGAGTCTTTGGCCAGGGCCAGACACCGGTTCACACCTTGGTGTCCGTCGTGGAGCAGGCCAACGATGTCCTTGCGCAGCAGCGAAGGCACGACGAGCCGTCCACCCATGAGCAGCAGGTCTTCGCAAATGGAGAAGTCGCCCCGGTGGTCCCAGTAACGGGTCATATTCAAGGGGAGTCTATCTCGTCTTGGCCAACCTCTAGTGCAGTAGACCCTCAGCGCGGAGCACTCGGCATCTGACGCTTGATGCCTTCTGAAGTCGTCGAGGCGCACCGCCAGAGTCGAAGGAAGGGCTGTCACGACTTGCGACACAAAGAGCTCGACACTGTCGGTGGAAGAGGCAGCTAGAGAGGGGCCTTCGGGATCCCGTGATAGCGTGTCAGCAGTGGCCAGGTACTTCCCCGGAACGTACCGTACTGAAAACTGGTACCGCAGAAGTCTGATGCGGAAACGCTGGATGCGGGGAGGCATAAGGTCGAGGTCGGCAGTGCCTAACAACCTGACGAGTGGCTGGTGATCAGTCTCCACAGTGAAGCTGAGGCCACGCAAAAACTCTTCAAAGCGCTGCACTGCCCACGAGACTCCGAGCGCTTCTTTTTCTATCTGACTGTACCGTTCTTCAGCGGCTGTCAAGGCACGCGATGCAAACGCGACCGCTCGGCGTTCCCCTGACGGTTGCTCCTGTAGCAGTACGGCGCCCAGGCCGTACGAGCTGGCATCAGCAGATACAGTCGTGGGGTACTCGGGGTTGTAGCGGGCGACGCAAGAGCTGGAGGCCACCATCTTCTTCAGCGACTCGAAGGCGGAAGCTTGGGCTGATCCCCAGGTCCATACTGTATCCTTGTTGAGGAGGAGTCTGATCGGAGCAGTCGTGGCCGACACATTCGGCAAGAATCGTCCAACGTGGTTCAGAAGGCCCAGGAGGCGTCGCACCCCATGTACATCCGTTGGAGGTCGCATATTCGTGATGGCGGAAACCTTGTCTGGGTCAGGTGCGATGCCTTTGGCACTGACAATCACCCCCAGGAACTTGACGGATGACACACCAAACTGACACTTGGAGGCGTTAAGGGTGACGCCAGACTGCTGGAGTCTCTTGAGGACGGCGTCGAGTCTAGCATCGTGCTCCGGTCTGTCCCTGCCGAAAACGAGGATATCATCCACCATGTTGACGCACCCGTCGAGACCCTCGAGAATGCGCGACATCTGGCGTTGGAACACCTCTGGGGCGTTGGAACACCTCGTCGAGGCGTTGGAACACCTCGTCTTCGGCAAATCAGCGTCGGTTATTGAATCGACAAAATTGACGACCCCTAGAGCGACGATTGCAGCGTAGCCTAGCAGAGGAGTGTCTACGCCGCCGACAACGTACAGCTTCTGGTGCACTGTCCGACCTCGCCATGCCAGGGTAGCCGGGAACGTACCGAGAAGATTGAGACGGCAGCGTCCCGGACCGACGAGTTGCTCGCCCGTGGGTTGGTCCAACGAGGCAGGACATCCCGGAAAAGAGCGGGGGACAACAGAAACGTCCGCGCCGGAGTCCACCTTGAACTGTAGGGGGAGGCCGTTGACGCGTACAACGACGTACCGGCCGGACGCTTGCGACGACTCAACGGAGTGCAGCTGGATAAGGCTGAGGCGCTTCGTTCTGGAGCGGCAAACTGCTGCGAAATGTCCCTTTTTTCGGCAGTGGTTGCATGTAGCCCTCCTGGCTGGACACTCAGAACGTGAGTGCGGTGCGTTGCCGCAGTAGTCACACGACGCTTTCGACCCACGAGGGTAGCTGTCCCGGCCCTGGTCCCGGCTTCGAGAAGGTTCTCGAACTTTGGAGGCAGGCGCCATCTTGGTTGACTTTCGTGACGCAGCGTCAACGTTGAGGGGACTCGGCTGCGAAGTCGTTGCTTGACGTTTCTTCTCGTTTTCAGCGTCCTCGTGTTGCCGAGCCAGCAGGAGCGCTTCTTGGAGCGTCAATTTCGGGTTCCGGCAAAGTTGGTCGGACAGACGCGAGTCGTGCAGCCCGACGACGAACCGGTCTCGTACGATGCGGTCTTCCACCTCCGGTGCCGGGTAGTTGCACTTTTTGACGAGGCTACGCAACGCCGTGAAGAACGCGTCGACGGTCTCGCCCGCCAACTGCGTGCGCTTGTGGAAGCGACTTGACTCATACACCTCGTTGACGGGGTGCACGAAGTAGCCCGTGAGCTTGGCTGCGACGTCGGCGTAGGAGCGGTAGGCCTCGTCGTCCGGCATGATGGACGAAAGGACCACGCGAGCTTGGGGACCCATGCAGTATAGGAGGGTGCGCACTTTGGTTTCCTCCGAAGCGACGGACAGGCCCGATGCGAAGGAGTAATCTTCAAATTGCTGGAGCCAGGCAGGCCACAGGCTGGCTTCGTCGAACGTGAACGGCGGCGGGGCCCGTAGCGAGAAGGCAGCAGCTGACGGCAGGAGCGGCGAGACAGCGGAAGTTTCCTGGGTGTCGGGCATCTTGACACTTCTGACACCATGAAGAAGGCTCGAGCGCGCAAGGATCAGGCGCGAGCGGCCAGGGCGGCCGAGAGTGAGTGGACCCGCCAGCCACGTGGTTCGGTTGAGAAAAAAGCCCCTGGTTTATTCCGCACATTGTTTAAATACACCGTTCCAAAACCCGAAGGTGGCGCCACGATTCATAGATGTTCTGTCGCTACACTAGCGTCCTCTACATACTATATTTGATTGTTATGTGGGAAGGTTAGAAAAGGCAAAAATATTTCCATGTTTATGAAGACGCGCAATTCGCAAGTCCATTTCGAGCCGTAAAAACGCGTTTTTTTTTTTACGATATTGATGCTTAAATATAGAACATACAAACAAAATATACACTTTCTCGACGTGATTTTCGTGTAGAAAACTATCACATCCACATTTTAACAAAAAATAAAAAAAAATAAAAAATGGGTTTTTTGAGAAAATCAATTTCAAAAATGGTACTTTTTGGTTTTCACATAACATTAACGTAAACGTACCGCGAAGGATATTTCATACAGCCGAGTCATTTTATAATACATATAAAGAGCGTGTTTTGGGCTCTCCGTGGACATAAAAAATATCGATATAACCCAAGTAGATTGCCAGTAATTAATTGTCAAAGTTCGTCAACAATTGATCGAGGGGGCGTTTTTGACATTTTTACAGAAAAAAAGCAAAACGCCTAAAACTAATTTATGGTATTGGAGCCTTTTAAATGTGTCCGCAGAGTGCTTGAAAAAAGATAATATAATGTGGACTGAAAATCAACGGCGGGAGATCAAGCGAAACATCCGACCCACGACGGGTGTGAAAAACACTGCTTTTCGCCGCGGCCTCTTTAAAAATTCACAAGTCAAGAACAAAAAATCCGACGAAGTCGCGGTTTGTGGCGACCGCGTTTTTAAAAACGGCGCCATAACATATATTTTTTTCATCGAAATTAAAAATTCGACCCTTTTTGCCTGCACGATTTGAGATGAAACCGCCCATATATATATATATATATATATATATATAGGGTGTTTTTTTTAAGCTTAATAGATTTTCTTAAAAAAAGCCGTGAAAGTTACACTTATGCCGCTTGTGGAGTTGAGTTATACGGCCAGGGGGACATATTATAGGGGGCTAATCGTAACGATCAGTCGGCTAATTAATTAAAATTCGTTAATTAACTTTTTAATTAATGAAAATAGACATATGGTTCCAATTAGAAACTTGCTCAGCGTCATCGAAAACCACTAATTCAGTCATTTTCAGAAAGAGTTTTAGCGCGTGAGAAGCGTAGTATTGTACTAAAGTTACCACTCGTGGAGCAGGTACAAGGCTGGGGCTAGATAAGAGACGGAAAAATCGCGCGGGCGCCTTATCGCAACCGCTAGCTTTGTACCTGCTCCACGAGTGGTAACTTTAGTGCACTACTACGCTTCTCATGCGCTCAAAGTCCTTCTGAAAATTACTGATTTAGTGGTTTTCGATGACGCTGAGCAAGTTTCTAATTGGAAGCATGTGTCCATTTTCAATAATTAAAAAGTAAATTAATAAATTTTAATTAATTAGCCGACTAATCGTTACGATTAACCCCCTATAATATGTCCCTGGCCGTATAACTCACCTCCACAAGCGGCATAAGTGTAACTTTCACGGCTTTTTTAAAACAAATCTGTTAAGCTTAAAAAAACACCCGGTATATATATATATTATATATATATATATATGTGTGTGTGTGTGTGTATATATATATGGTATTTAACGGTATTAAAATACCGTTTTTAATTTTTGCATATCTCGGCTGAATGTTTTTATTTAGATCGTCCTCACCTGGTGCAAAAACCACACTTGCATATTGCGCGAAAAAAAATATTCTTATACCTGTAAAACTTTGAAAAATGCCTGCTTTATTCGAGCAAGAAGAAGTTTGTATTATTCAAACATTAATATTACTATAATTCGTCATTCAGAAAGTCCATCACGTTTTGTCGTAATGCAGTATCTTGAAAAACAAATCCCTGTGTAACGCGGTAGGCCTTTCCAATATTTGTGCTTTATTAGAAGGTGAATACTCGACAACCTTATATATCACAATTCAAAATTCGCGCTCTCTTGTGAGTGCGTTCGAGTTTTCCCCGACACCTACACCACACTTTTTGTACCACGTGATCACGCCAACCATTTTAATACATAGGGGGTTACTATTTCTACCTAAAGCTTATTTATGTGTACTAAACGAGCACACCAGTTTGTTTGACGCTTGTTTGGCTTTTCTTCCGTCAGTCGGTTAGCGTTCAACAGCAGCAGGGCGTCTGCTTGCGCTAAGCCAACAAACGTCAAGCGCCGTCGGCTCCGCGTGAGCGTGCCTCGCTGACGCGATAACCCGTTTGGAACTTTAACCGGCACCGCGCAGAGGTCCGGTCACCATGGAGGTCGACGCAGCCAGGCGAAAAGACCGTCGTCGACGCCCTCACGGACCCGAAGACGACGCGATGTCGCGGTCTCCAAGTTTCGTTTCTTTTCAATGGGATCAGCGGACGTCGATCTCGCGGTTACAGCCCCGGCATTGCCCGAGCCGTTCCCACTAGCTTAGCAAGCTTCCAAAGGTCACCGGAAAAACCCGACCCCGACCCCGACCACGAACTAAAGGAGGTGAGTGTTTCATAACACCAAGTTCGCGGTCGCCTCCACTCCGCGTACTCCAATCCAAGCCCGATCGCGCGCGCGCGCGCGGGGGCTATGGATGCGGCAGCAGTCCGACTCCTCGATCGATAGAAATGCGTGGTGGCCACGGCAGAGCCAGGGACGGTAACTTTTTTTCAACATCCTTCATTCTCCTTCTTTTTTTCTCCTTTTAAAGGTCTTGGCCGCCGCGGTGCCGCGATGGGCGCCCGCAAAAGTCAGCTCCCGTCGGCACTCGCCGCGGTCGCGGCGTTTTTGACGAATTCGTTGGCCGGTGCCGTCTTCAGGGACTGTGGCTTCGTCAGCGATCGGGAGCGCGGCGTGATCACGACGCCCGGCTTTCCCGGGCCCTACCCGGTCCCCATCGAGTGCCGCTGGGTCATGCGGGGTTCGTCGCCCAAGCAGCGGGTGGCCCTTTACCTGACCCAATTCTACATGCGCGACGGTGTGACGCTGTCAGAGTACGTCTATTACGACGCGCAGCAAGGGAACATTGGTGGCACGCCGATCGGCGGCATCAGTTCGGAGGCCGAGCCCACCCACGTGCTCAGCAACAAGCCCGTGCTCGTGCTGGATTTCCAGGTGAGTCGTTCGTTGACACCGCGCGCTGATGGACACCTCTTGACACCTTGTTTGAGCGCCGTGTCGGATTTCGTTCCCGCGTGTGCGTGGATTGGCTCCGGTTGGTTGAACCCTGCCTCTTCATTGGTTGGAGTGGGTCGGATTTTGGATTCTTTTTTGGCTAGCCGCCCGTGCTTCCTTTCAACGATGAACCGAAGACGACACCGACGACACTACGAATATTCGAAGCTCATTAGCGCCATGTGAGCGTCACATGACCTTCGGGGCCGAAGCAGCGGCGCGAGTGGGCGTGGGGGACGCGTCATCACGTGATCGAAGTTCACAGCGTCGGATTAGCTGGGGTGGTTTGGGGGGGTTTTCTGCGGTCCAACGTGAAGAAGGTGTAATATCAAGTTCCTGGTTGCCGACCAATGAAAGGCGCGCGTTCTGCGCTACGCTGCGTTCACTGCGCTCAACGTCGGAGTATAAACAGCCCTTAGTTAGCTTTTTACGTCGGGACAAACGATCGTCACGGCCAAACATCAAACAGGTTTTTGTTTGCAGTGCGCGCTGGCTTTTCCGAAGAAAACAATCAAAAAGAAATTGAAGGTCGAATTTTTGTTTCCTTCCGGAGTAAGTCCCCCTTCCATCCAGAAGTTAATTTCCCGCTTCCACAGAACCGGGTGCGTGGACGTTGTACTGGCAGTCAGTCGGCCGTTTAACCACTGCCACCTGCTGCGCATTAAAAGACCCCCCAGTCATACTAGACTGCCAAACTCCACCTCTACACTTGGGACGTGGGTCACCTGAATTGTTTAAAGATGGATGGAATGAATCTTTAGGTAATGCACCATCATTACAAGACGTCTCTTGAGGTTAGGCCACCAGAATCTTAAAAGAAATGTCCTGTGTCTCATAAATAGGGTTCCACATTTTCAGATAAATCCAAAAATGCTCGAAAAAACACCCGTCGCTGAAAGTTTGGTCAATTCAAATTTATCCGATAAACTCCAAATTTTGATGTGCCAATATCAGTTGGTCAATGGTACTGGGAACATGCCACGTCAGTTATCTTTTATATCTCGGAGCATTGTCAAAGGGGCCTTACCGCTTATCTCAAGGTTAATTTGGGACAACAAATCATCATACTTATGGGTAATGACAAAAGCCATTGTTTGGGTTTCTAATTTGGGCCATGTGCTTTACAGGAAGGAGAGGTTGTGTTTTTGTAACAGTGAAAGCTATGGACCATGGAAATTTCATAAAATGGTCTACCTCACTGTGGTCTACCTTGTGTGGCGTGGCCGCGGGGTAGGTTGATGGAATGGGGATGAATACGAGCTTCCCAGCAACGACCTCCAGGAGTTTACTAATTTTTAAGGTATCAACATTTATCGAAGCAACACTTCTGTGCAACTTTTGTCATGGAACAAATTAGTATTGCCAATGGCAATGACACCAATGTCGAATCCAGCTGAAAAAAAATATTAATTGATATCAGCCCATATTATTTTCTTATCTCGTATACATTAAACCCAGATATTATTTATTTATTTGTTTTAATAGGAAGCACTGCACAATTATGCTCAAAATTTCGGAGAATCGGGAATCAAACAGAAATAAACTTTGATTAACACCCTCCGAATTTGATAAAAAATAAACATTGAAAGCACAGAATCCTACTTACAAACATTTCTTAGACTTTTGCACATTTGTCTTCTAGCCCAAGAATGGCAGTGCATTAGTTGAGCTAGAACACAGCTACAAAATCTTTCAACATATTGATGGCTATACAGTCTTGCCAAGACGTCTACAAGACATCTTACCAAGGCATTTCATAGACATCCAATAGATGTCTTGATGCTGAGGGGATGACATATGTGGCTGGTGCCCTGACTGAATGTCTGTAGGCCATCTTACATATCTTACCAAGGTATATCTCACTGGTACCTTAATATATCTGTGAGACAGACGTCTTGGTGTTCAGCAGAAGTTATCCATGGCTATGCAGTGTCTTGTCAGGATGTCCATAGAACGTCTTGCACATCTTACAAAGGTACTTTACGGGCACGTTTGCCAGGATATCTACAGGAAGTCTGGTACTACATATCTTACCAGAACATCTAACTTAAGCTTCACCTTTGTAAGCAAAGGTTTGTGTCCCCCCGTGGTGGCAGGTCCGGGAGGCTGGCAACATCCACCTGCGTGTGCTTGACCTGTTCCTCGAGGTGTATGGTTTCAACCTGACCTACGAGCTGGTCGAGTCTGAGAAGGAGCTGCGCAATGACTCGTGCCTTGGGCACCACTGCTCCTTCACGGGACTGTGCCTGGCATCGGCTGACCTCACAAGTTACCGCTGCTCCTGCCTCGGTGACTTCTACGGCGACGAGTGCCAGTTCTCGCCCCGCTGCGGCCCCCAGAAGGGCGGCTCACTCTGCCACAACGGCGGAACGTGCAGGCGAGTTTGTTTGGATGTGCGTGGTTTCACGTTGTAAAATCTGGTCATCAAGCATGTGTGTAAATATTTGGATGTGTACAATGAACGTCATAAGCTGGTCATAGTGTGCGTGTGTGTGTGTGGAAACAAATTTTAATGTGTGTGGCACACATAAGCTGGTCATAGTATGTGTATGTAAGTTTGTGTGCAGTACATGTTGTAAGCTGGTCGTGTGTGCGTAAAAGTGTGGGTGTGTGCAATACACATCGTAAGCTTCTGATAGTGTGTGTGTTTATACAAGTTTGAATGCGTACGGTACATGCTGTAAGCTGGTCATAGTGTCTGGGAGTTTGTGTGTGCTATCAGGGGCGAATTTAGAGGGGGGGTCTGGATTTCCTGACCCCCCTCTTGATTTTTACATGTGTAAAATTTAGGGCATAAAACAAGCGAGAGGGGGAGGGGGTTCCTAAACATATGGTACGCTGACAAACACCTGACCCCCCCCCCCCCCCCCTCAGGAAATTCCTGCATCTGCCCCTGTGTGCTATAGATTGCTTCTGCAAGAAGTTTATGTGTTTTCGGTGCCTTTTTCCATCTGGATTAATCAAGCTAATAATTTGGGTTCTTTTTTTCTTTAAAAGAAATTTGTATAGTTTATTGTAGCAAGCTAGGTGCAGGGGAGGCTCCACCCACAAGAAACAACTCCCTGCTCAGTGCTCAATGCTCAGAGGCACGTTAGGTATTATGTGGAGCTGTGTATTTTGAACGTTCCAACCTTGAGGAGAGGGCGTTGATGGCATAAGAAAAAATAAGCATTCATATTGAATGGTATATTGACGCCGTTTTTCTTCGGGAATTCGGAAGATGATCCTCTGTTGTAGTTGTCACCTTCCAACATACGAGCCACCCTTCCATTGTGACTAGGGTGAAAATATTTGGTTCCTTTCAGTCAATTTTTTTCTCATTAGAACAGAAGAAAGAAAGAAAGTCTTGCATGCACAACAAAACTACAGCAATTGGAGCTCTGGCTAGCAGAAATCATTTGTACCTATCATCATATGCTAAGTGTGATGATGAGTCACGATGACCACTTGACCTTGTAATATACCGTAAAACTTGCTTGAATGCGTTTGGTGCAGACAGACTTGTATGTAATCCATTACAATTAGTAACGAATTTACTCTTGTAATTCATTACATTAATCAGTAATTTAGTAAGAGAATATTTACATATTTTACAAAGTAATTGTAAAGTAATTTTATTACTTATTTAGGTAAGGGAATGATGGTAATCTGTTACATTTTCGTTTTCATTCATGGAGAAAAAATCGGGAATTTTGTGCACTAAGCAGAAATTGTTCCTAAAAAAAATAAAAGGACTCTTTTGTAAAATGAGCTCTACAGGAATCACATTGTCACTTGCAGTTACAAAATGCAGGGCCTGACAGTTTTTGAATGCTCAAAGCCCTTCACATGAAGTAACATAACCTCTATTCATGTTTTTTTTTTGTTTTGTGGCTTAATTGGTTGTTTGCAACCTGTAGCTTGCTCACCCACAACAAAGGGGGAAGTGCACTGATATAAAGAACCAGACTCTTGATGTAAACAATATTAAGCGTACTCCCAAAGTCAAAATGTTTACTTCTAACAAAAAAGAAAAATACTGTGCAAGCTTATGCGAGTTGGTATAGCGGATCTGTGTGCACCTGTTCTTCTTGTCCCACTCTTTCTTTGCTTTTGAAGACATGCAGAGGAGGACACCAAACAATTGTGCACCTTACAAAAGCTCAAGACAATTAACACTGCTCTCTTCGGTTATAGTGACTACGACAGTTGGTTTAAAGTCACAGCAGAAGCAAACGCTCCGTCTTATACTGAAATAATGTTCAACACTGAAGTTGACTGAAAATGATGTGATGGTAGCTGGCTAGCTTCAAAGGATATTAGAACAGCCTTCATCTTTTGGAAGTATGAATGTTTATTTGATTTGTGCTGTTTTTCACCTACTCTTCTCAAAGCTCCGGGTTGCCCACATCCCTGTCACCGTGTTTGTGCATCAGCTTTTTGTGACCTAGATAAAAATGATTAAATATGTTTTTGTTGTTGTTGTTCTACAATATTAGGGCACGTCGTTGGTAGAATGATTATATTGACAGGGAACCTATTGCATAGCTTTTAGTCTCCTTAAACCGATTAATACAAACAAAAATGATAGTTGATGTCATCTTTTTAAATTTTTCACTAAAAACGTCAAATAGTAGATTCCTGATTTGACTGTCGTTGACGGTTGCAATGGAGGGATGCTGCGCTGCCGTTGTCTCACCTGACATTAGCTAAAGAACACTGAGCTGTGGTACGGCCAACCTGTGCTACATGTGTTTTGGACTGCATATCGACATTCTATTTTTTTTATCCTAGAACGTAAAGTTAAAGTAACACCGCAAAAGAAACGGATTACTTTTGGATGTAACAGTCACTTTTATGGATGATTACTTCCAGGAGTAATCAGTTGGATGCACATATCTGTCCGTCAAGCATTGGACTCGTGAAAATAGCAGATAGAATCAAATGTACTGGTTGCGTCATCGTGTTTGAACAGGCCCCAAAGTCGGCCAAAATCCTGAAATGCTGAGTGGATGTTGCTGATCAAATATCGATATACATATGGGAAAAAAGTCATATTTTTCGCCCACATTGTGCAAAGAAACGAAAGCGATAGCTGCAGCAGGGTTGTGCAATGCGGGTGGAATGGTGCCGTCACATAGCTGAGGACGGAGGTGCAATGTGGGTAATTCTCATAGTCGTCGTGGATGCCACTGACGATCCACCAGTGCTTGGTGATTCGATAAGTGGGTAAGCGCGGTGGAAGTTTTTAAAACCATCCAACATTACGCATAGTAACTGGATACTGCTAAAGTAAGATTTCGCATAACGCTAGTAATGTTTGAAAACAAGTGTTTGAAGCAGACGACAGGATACTCTCCCTTCATCGAGTTGTTACTGATGGTATGCTGGGGCTCCCCTCTCTTCTCTCTCCGTGCTGCGTGGCCGACGGAAAAATTTGACTTTCCTGGCCTCGCGCCAAATTGAGGAGAGAAGGGTTTTTCCATAGCGGCGACGACAGCCCACGAGCTCGTAATCTCTGCAAAGTGTCGCCCGTAAAGCTATCGCTTTAAAAAATTCACTGTGCGATGCAGACGTAATTGGACACTCTTTTATTTTGCTTTAATGTCCTACTGGTCATGTCCCCCAAAAACAATCTTGACCTAGAAGGTAAATTTAATGTAACTTCTTTTGACTCAAAAGGTGGCTCAAGAGGTGAAGCATGCGGAAGCCTGCGAAGAAAATCGTGGCAAACTTTAATCGCAGTTTGTTGCTCGCAGGTACTACATTGGTAGCAAGACTCAGACGTGCGTGTGCCCTCCGGACTACAAGGGTGCCCACTGTGAACACGTCGCCCGAACAGACATTTTGCAAGGTGAGTTAGGCTGCTCCTCTAACATCTGTGCATGCTTCATTGCTTTCTTGACTGTTGTGCTACAGTCTTTCGACACGTCTCGGGGGGAAGGGGGGGGGGGGGAATCGGCGGCAGAGTGTGTTGACACACTGCAGCGTGGAACACGTGGAACGAAAGTTTGTGCCACAGAACCCGGGAATCCTGGGTTCAATCCCCACCCCTGCCCACTTTGACCTGGATGAGCATCGTACCGGCGTGATGCGTGATGTACGCTAAAAACTACAGGCTGGTGGTGGTACTGGAACTGGCTGTACTTCTTGTCTACAGCGGAGACATCAGACGCTCATGTCGGCTGACTAAATTCTGGCTGTTTAATCAAGTGCACAACACAATATGAAGAGCAAGTTTCTCTGCTTCTTTTGCAGGGGTTGTGGTGGCGTCAGAACGCCCATCTCTGATTGGCTCTGATTGAAGGATAGTGGGATAGATGGATAGACCTCAAGGCAGCTTGCTTTAAAGGGGTACTCCGCCGATTTCTTCATGGTCCCCGATTTGCTTGAAATTTTGCTAAACTCGTCAAACAACATCGCCAAAATAGTATCCCAAATATTGGGTCAAAATAATTTTTTTTTCACGAAGTTATTGAATTTACAACTTTGGCCCTCACCGTGTTTTTCAAACTGAAAGTCTCTACTGGCAACAACGAAAAAGTGACGTCATTGGAAGTGCAGGGGTTCACTCTTTGGACTGTAGAATTTGTTCCCAACTGATCCGAAGCAGTTTCATGGTGTCAAATGAATGCTTTGGAAGCTTGCTCCAGGACCCGCGCTCCAGCACGGAACAAATGATTGGCATATTCTATTTTTTAGACTGCTCGCCCGACTGGCAAGCTGACCTTCCAATGACGTCAGGGCTCTGAAAAGGGCGGGTATATTTGAATGTTGGTTTTTGCATCATTTTCATTTGCCGATTTCGCAATAACTATTATGAATTTCACGATACTAAATAGCATACCAGAAAGGGTAAAGGCCGGGGAGCCAGAAAATATAGTTAGTTGAGGTAGCTCGAAAATCGGCGGAGTACCCCTTTAAGGTCTACCCACTATCCTTCAATCGCAGTCAATCAGAGCTCAGCCTTCTGACGTCACCACAACCCCTGCAAAAGAAGCAGAGAAACTTGTGCTTGCATTACTTTCTTTACATGTCTTTTGTCTGGGAAGTTCTGTGGTGTGGTGTGCAAGAGCTTTCCCCTGGAAGCGAATTGAACCACTAGAGGTGCACCCTCAATGCCGAATTGAATCAGGCAGGACATCCGTCGGGTGGTTAGACAAATGTATGCCACTACTCGTTGCATAAATCTTTTTGCGGGGCATTTGAAAGGCCCTTGTATACCCTTCCGGGTGGTACAAAAAAGCGGGACTTGACGAGCTATACAGTATAGACCACTTACAACGTAACCGCTTATAGTGCAGGACCGTATATAACGCGGCTTTTTTAAACCACCGGTTTGCCTCCCATAGAACTTTATGTAATTACATACCGCTTAAAATGCAGGTGCGCGAAGGGAAATACCGGTTATAGTGCAGTTTCTGGAGCAGCGCGCCGACCGACCCGCGCATCGAGCACGCTTCCCTGTGCGACACTAGACGACTAGATAACGGCGCTAGCCGCAAGCGGCACTCGCGGGGGCAAGGATGGCAAGGAGGTTGCTCGAAGAGGGGAGAAGCGAAGAGAGAGGCTTCAGTTGCCATAGCGATGGAGGGACGCATACATGTGTCGTTCAAGGCGCGGGGCGTTGGGGCCACGACCAAGAGTTGGTCGTGGTTGGAGCCAGCCCAACCAGCCGTTGTGCGCGTTGCATGTCGGTTGCGGGTCGGCCAGGGCTGGCTTCTTCTATCCGCAAACATTGCGTCGGTCGTAATCGTCGATGTCGACGGCGTAGTGGAAGCTTATCGTTCTGCGTAAAAGTGCCATCCTTGACTGTGAATTTTCATTGTGTTGCTATGATAACCCGGCACATACTAGAAGGGAAGATCCACCTACTTGTGCGGCGATCTCGTGGCGGCACTCTCAAGACAGCAGAAACGCCCGTGTCGTCGTGTTTGTTTACTTCGACTACAGTGGTGCTTTCTAAGCATTTGTGTTTTCGAACATTGCCCGGATTTCTTATTTGAAGCATTTCATGCACACCATTGCATGTGCGCATTTCATGCCTTTTCTGGAGCATTTCATGCACATACCAAATAAAGGATGCGAATTTTCACGCGTTTTCATCACCGGAGAAAAGTGATTAGGGTTAGCAATCCTGAACGCTCGCAACGTCCGTCCGCAACCCGCGACGCCGTTAAAAGGCTACGCCAGTCAAAAGTCGCTCATTTTTTTTAAAATGTGTGACACACTTGAGAGAGAAGTGTACTAGTCTGGTGAAATAAAGACTTTCCTCAAACTAAGCTTTATTTTTCATCTAATATAAAATAAATTGTTTTACGAAGGTAAGTTGTCTCATGGCATGTATTTCGGCCTGAAAAATTGAGGTTTTGATTATAGCGCGGTACCGCTTATAATGCGGATTTTTGCGACTCCCGCAACATACGTTATATGCGGTCTAGACTGTACCACAGATGGGGTCAAGATACCAGAGCATGGCACTAAAACGCTGGAAAAACTGCACCACATGCTACACCTTCTCAAAAATACTTTGGCAAAAGGGTGATGTTGAGTATGACCATATGTATGGTGAATGAAGGGCTGACAGCTTAATCTATTCCTTTATAAGATTGCAGGAATAGATTGTTCAGAATGAGTATGATTGCACTATGCAGCACACTGCTGCTTACACCAGTCGTGTCAAGACCCATTCAAACAATAGTATTTAAGTGCAGGGTGTCTATAAAAAAGGTGTACAGTGCTTTATTTCGTTTATCATTAAAATGATCTATGCATTGCATGCTCAGTCTCCGCCTAAACATAGCACTAGCGGTCTGGACTAGGTGCCAAAGTTTGAGAGCTGGCCGTTATCCAGTTCAAAAGTTACGAGTGATTTTCAAAAATTTTAAATGGGAAAACGGCAGCCAAGAAGGCCTGCGAATACATGAAGCCGAGGGCCGTCAGCTACTGGGAATGGGCCCCATCGAAAGTTTTAGAAAATTATTTATAACTTTTGAATAAGATAACGGTTAGTTCTGAAACTTCGGCAACTGATCTGGACTGCTAGTGCCGCATTTGAGTGCAGACTGAGCGTTTGGCAATGTATAGTTTATTTTTGTGGCAAAAACAACACTATATATTATTTTTTGGAGATGTGTGATATGTCTGACTATTGCTATATACGACAGCGAGTTACTTTGGTAACCAAGCATTGTGTCACATGCTTGCCGCGGTTACTCGTTGTCATACACCAACTAAGCCTCCGTAACATACTCAAACGCAGTCGTACGGTGCAGTGTGAATATGACTTTGCTGTCATCCTTCAAGATTTGTAGCATTTATTACTGCTGCCCTCCACAAATTCTCATGTTTGGGAAATAAGTGGAAGAATACTGAGCTCGCATCAGCCCGAGTCAAGCAACCAGATGCTTGGTGTTTTTCTTCCGAGTCATTACGTTGGCTCGGCAAGGAAGAACAAACGGCGCATTTGTTGTGTTTTAACGAGGATAATAAACGTGGGAGTGCAGCACGGAAAATCGTAAGTGCTGTCATCGGTGGTATCGAGAAAAAGAATGAGGAAGGGAGTGACGGAAGAGTGTAAAAAGAAGGTGGACGTTGCATTTGGTGGGTTTGTCTTGCCGCGCCGCTTTGAAGTTGTTTGAGGGCTTGACAGCCTTAGATTTTTTCTTATGCAATGCACTATGCCGGTGCTCCCTTGGAAAGCAAAGGTAGAAAAGACCGAATACTAGCTTTGCAAGAAATAGTTTGCCGCTTCCTCGCATTTATTGCAGTCTGGCATCCACCCCACCATACCGGGGCAGCCAAAATCCTCGGGAGGAAGGGATAGACCTCTTTTTCTAGTTTGATCGTACAAACTTTACAACTGAAATCCACACAGCGAGTTTTTTTCTTCTGATGGATTGTTCAAAGTTCTCGAGGTGGTGCGCCCACACCCCAGGAAGGCGAGAACAAAGAAAGCAGGCGGTCGACGACGGCTCCCGCTTTCCTTGCAGATTGCGCCCAGCTCAACTGCTCCCAACAGTGCAACGAGGGCGGGCCTCAACCCCGGTGCGAATGCAGGCCGGGGTTCCGCCTGGACGACGACGGACGCTCGTGCTCCCCCGCAAGTGAGTTGCACGTGACGCTACCCTACCCGGAATGCACCTTCAATCGGCTCGCCTAGCATCCTCTCCCGCCCGCACATCAAGAGTGGTCCCAAATCGGCAACACACAATGCCACTGGAGCCGACGTGTCACGCCGTCCGACGTCGCAATCCCAACAGTTGGTCGTAGAACTTCCAGTCGAAAAAAAAAAAGCAAGTGCAAGTGTCGCCGCTGTGGCGGCATCTCAATCCCAGGCTGCCGGAGCTTCCGTAGGCTGTTGTGCTGGAGAGCGACGGCAGGACAGGCGTCTGCTGCAGGCAGCTCTGCTGCTGAGTCATTGCTAGGGTTGGGGCAGGCAGCTACGTGACACGAGTGTGACGTCGTTAGGTGAAAATAGAAAGTTCGAGGATACGGTAAGCTCGCCGGTCAGGAATGCATCCTAGGCACCGTGAGGAGGTTCTCTGAAGGACAAGCCCAAATCCGGTTCTCTCTCGTTACCTCCGTTTTCCATTTTTCGATTACAGTCGCCGACCGATTTTTTGGGCGCCGATAATTTAAACTTGTTCAGTATTTTGGACCTAAAGGAGGAACCGTGACCTACCCGATAGAAATAGTGCACTTTCAAGACCAATGTTTCGGACAGCTCGAAGTCCGAAAGTCTGATTTTTGCAACAAGGGATCAGTGGTAAACACCACAAGAAGAGGCCATTTTGGATTCTATGTTGGCTGCGCAAGGATTGGCTTGGTTCGGCAGCATTTCTTGAGTACTGCTAAGCCCTACCGCTAGGTGACACTCTAGCTGTGCGTCATTATCATTATCATTGTAACCACTTTGCTTCGTGCATTTGCCATTCTGCAGTCGTGGACTTGCACCTCTCATCTCGTCCCGGTGAATCGTGTTTTGGGACTACACCGACTGGGACGTCATGGGCCCCATCTGTTCTTCCGCCGTTGTGAAGTGTCGCTGAAAAGCGTGGAATGTACTCCACCATAATGCTAAAAAAAGAAGGCAGCGATTCTCAAGCTAACAAAAAGTGGTCAAACGCAAATGGAGGCATAACTGTAAGCAAGGCACCATTGATGGCTTTTTTAAGCCCGCTTAGACCATAATCAAGGCAGGTTTCTTAATCTGCTGATTGTTTGGACTGCTCTACTATTCCAATGTTTTTTCAGCCCCTGCAAAGTCCGAAAAATTGATCGGCGAATGTAGTACAGCTTCCTGTTGTTTTTTTTTCCTCCCTCTTTTCTTAAATTTTTTTTTATTCAGCTTACTTTGCTGTGAATATTTGGGCGTTGCACGACAGGGAGTATGTCTAAACAAAACATGTGGTACCTAGCACACTTTTTTTTTTAAATCGACTGCCTTTTTTACGCTTCGTCAAGTGTTCATTCCGAACGCTATGTTATCCAAAGTAATAAGATACTTCATGGTCCCATGCATCTCGCATTCTATGGATCTTCTGTTCCCAGGCATCTTGCGCCTCCGCAAGAATGCTTTTTCTTTTTGTTTCGTTTACTCGCTCATTCTCTACTACTTGCCTCCTGTTCCTGTGTAGCTGTGCTGGCCAACTTGGTTCCATCCAAACCTGAAAATGCTACAGAAATCCGTACAGTGAATTAAAAATTGATATTTACGCTGAAGATCCTTTCTTCCGCTCAAATAAATGAAGGGGACGAGGCAGAATGGCGCTCTTGTTACCGTGACCTGGTAATTGTTTCCTGCAACGGCGTTAGCATTTTTTTTTTTTAATTAGTTTTGCATGATTAGTGCTTACCGATGAATGTGAACCAGTGCTGTACAAAAAAAATTGTATGCCCTGAAAAAAAAAAGTTAATTTATATATTTTTTTTTGTTTTCCCCAAATAATTCACAAACCAAACCTTTACGTGTTCTGTGTTATTTTCCGGCAAATTGGCTTTCCTGCCGCTGAGTGGCGTTATGTGGTGAAGTTACTGCCAACGTCTAGGATCTCCTTTCAAGTTGTACGTCCGTGTACAACTTGGCGCAAGCTACTGGTGCTGGCTCGTGGCTTGCCACAAAGATCAGTGGTCATAAATAGCCACAATATTAGAAGGTTTAAAAGATGCCACTGTATTTAAAGTATTCCACGCATTTGAAACTTGCCTCATTGCGTACTTTATCATCTTGTTCCTTTCTGTGTGGCTGTTAATGTTATATTTCAATTAGGGCTTAGGTAAGTTCTCTAATTGGGTTACTTCAACCATAGTTAGTGCTCTTAAGATAGTGTTGCACTGTACGATATGTCATGTCATCAAGACTAGAGGCTGCGCACTAGATCCGAAACACGAGAACCAAATATCTATCTTTGTGCCACTGAGAAAGCCTTTTTTTTTTTTAACCAACAAACATAGCTTTGTTCTTCGGAGTTAGGCCATTTGTTAGGTTGGACAGTCCGGAATAAACCTGCGATTGTGATCCCAACGAAAAAGGGAAGGTGCGTGCATCCAGTAGCACTTTACGTTCCACCGGAATCAAGAGAAGTGTTGCGCAGTAATTTATTTATTTATTTATTTATTTATTTATTGTACCCTCAGGGCCCGAAGGCATTACAGAGGGGGAGAGCGTAGGCAGGGAAAATATAACAATTCAGCAATACTAAAACAAATAAAAAGTGAACAAACAGGTCAGAAATCAGCGCAAAAATGGTTATTTATGGCACTTCGAAAAAGATTAGAGTCTGTTATGGCAGCAATTAAACCGGGAAGGTGGTTCCATTCTTGAGCTGTGCGTGGTAGAAAAGATGAATGAAATGTGTTGGTTAATGAGCTTGGGACTCCAACTTTGTGCTGGTGATCTACACGAGGCGAGATGTAATAGGGGGGAGTTATGAAATGGTCGCGTAATAGGGGATTATGAAAATAAATTTTATGAAAAAGGCATAAGCGTGAAATTTTACGGCGAAGTGAAAGAGATGGTAAGGATAAATTATTCTTCATTGACGAGACACTGGCGGTGCGGTGATAGTTCGATAGAATGAAACGAGCTGATCTATTTTGAATGGATTCTAAAGCAGTGATGAGGGTAATTGCCCAGCACCAGCTACTGGTTTACGGTTTCTCCAGCAATGCAGAAAGGAAGGCAAATGGGCGATGTTCGTTTGCAGGTCGTATGCGGTTCCTGGTGCAGGTCAAGCTTTACGACCGCAACGTGGACTTGGCCCACCTAGACGCCAGGGGGCGCTCCCAACTGCAAGCTGGGCTCGAGGCTGCGGTGAGGTTGCGGAAAGAACGTAGTGTCGCGGAGAGTGTAGTCACGTCGTCCACAGCTCTCTTGCCCCTGTGAAACAGCTACGTGCAGCATTGTATTATGGTTTACCTTTCTTCGAGGTGCGTCGTTTGAAAAAGGTTACTAAAGCATGAAATGTTCTGTGACAAAAACCCCCATTCTCAAAATTTTGTCAGTTTGTCTGTCCGTGCATTTTTTGCTAAATTCAGTGGGAAAACTAAATTGGTATTTAGGTCGTGCAACGTCAATTGATGCTACTTGACCTATGCACCAATTCGCTTTTGCCGCTAAATTTAGCGGGAAATGTGATGTCCTGTCACCCGACATCACGAAACTTGTACGCCAATTTAGTTTTCTCGCTAAATGTGGCGAAAAAATCAATATCACGCCAACCGGTCACGTGACCTACACTCCCATCCAATTTTCCCGCTAAATTTGGTGGGAAAGTCAATGTTGCGTTACCTAGACACCTTCAGTTTCCCTGCTAAATTAATTACGTCACGTGAACTATGCATGAATCTAGTTTCCTTGCTAAACTTAGCAGGGAAATTGATGCCACATGACCTACTGTGCACCCAGCTTCCAGTGATGTGATGGCTGCGCCAATTGCGCCAAACTGCGCCAAGGGGCTAACCCTGCTATGTACATATCCTGCTACATTTTGCCAAAATATCGGTAATCCGCGCCAAGCCTGCGCCAAAGGGCCAATATTGGTCGCCTTTCAAAACTGAAACTAAACTAAGTACTGTAACTGAGCATGCATGAGCTAGGCGGCGCAAACGGCCGCCCGACACAAAATACCCTGCATCAATCGTCCATGGTTTTTTGCATGGTTTTTTCCGCCAGGCCATCTCTTCTTTCACGCTCTCGTCGTCTCGTAAGCGTTAGTCTCGTCTCGCTTTTTTTTTTTTTTTTTATTGACAGATGCTGGCGTGTGTGTGTGCTGCGACGCTAGCGTGCTGGGTACCAGCCATGACGTGACGCTGTGAAATGAAACTATGTTTTGGCGCGGCGGGAGTTACTTTTTGAGATGAAGCTCTCGCTCCTGAAATCAACGGCCACACGACGTTGCAGATATGGAGCTTTCTAAACTGGCACATAAGGACCGCCGCATGTTCATCAACATTCATGCTCTTGTTTAAAACATACGCTGCTACAAAAATCCCTCTCTAACTCAAAGACTGCTGTGTCAAAGTATTGATTACCTAGGTTTCTCTTGGTGGGCTTTCTTTCGAGAGGGACCCCGGTAGTTGAAAAAAATGTGTCGCGATGAAAAGTTGAAGTGAGCTAAAGCAAAGAAGGGAATGTCTGCACGCTGAACCCGCAGAGCGCGCTTCTTTGTCTTGAGCTCAGTCGTTGCACAATGCGACCCTGGCTCGCGATGTCTTGCATCAATGCGCTCAGGTTCCTTTTTCTGTGTTTAGCTCGTACCTCGCCTGCCGGCCTTGCAAGCACGCGGCGCTGGACTCTTTCTTGTCGCATGCTGGGCAGTTACATTTTGCATAGACTTTTGGCAACCAGTTGGCGACAGAGCGGAGAGGCATGGTTTCGGTTTCGATCGAACAGCCGTTTCGCTCGCGCGACGAAGCACGTGCACCTGCAAGCCTGTTGGAGTTGCCCTCACGTGCATGCGAACTAACGATGTGAACATAATTGCACGACAGAGGCACCAGCCGGGACGCTTGCAATTCATTGTTTTACATTTAATTACTTTTGACGAAAATCTGGCACGTTGGCAATCAGTAAAATGGTGCCAAGCGGTTTTTTGGAATTACTTGGCAACGCCTACAGCACTGTACACTTGTGGGATGTCGCAATGTTTCTTTGGAGACATTAAAATTGGACATTCATTACCACCCTAAGCTAAAGCAAAGCTTGCTCCAGCCTTGCAATATGTTTCGAAAAGCAAAAAGAAATGTGTCATGTCATTGGCATTTCAATTGCATCTTGAAAGACTCCCAGGTGGCTGAACTTGACCATGATTGGTTTATTTCGGCGAGCAAGATTCTCTTCACATGTCCAGCATTTAAAACAAATATTTTTATTTTTATTAGAATATCTGCTTTAAAAGCTACTTTTGCTGCTCCAAAACACTGTTTTGGCTGCTCCAAATGCCACTTTTTCTGCTCCAAAACACTGTTTTGGCTGCTCCGAAAGGTGCTCCAAAACAGCTTAGGCCAATCACATTACTGAGCTTCCCCACTTAACGTGCCGGGCAAATCAATAAAATTTAAGATTCTTTACTCCCGAGTAGATGGATTACTAATGTCTTTTAAATAATTTTAAACAATTGCTCTTAAATAATGTATTTCATGCATTATTGAACTTTAGAGATAAATGTTGCTGCCAGTCTTTTTGATAAGAGACGGCAGGAGTGCCCTCCCCCTCTCAACATCCTTGCAGTGCTATAGTTCAGAAGTTTACTTTCAACACTCCGCACGGTAGAGAGAAACGTGCGAGCGTTTTGCACATTGTTAACACTGTGCTTGCAGCATTGCGGGCAAGCACCACAGTAGAGCCTGAAGCAGTGGCCCCGCCCCGATCAAGTGCTGGAAAAGGGTTTACAATTTATTGGTCATCAATGGATGACTGAGTAATTGGCTATGCAAATAATTTCTGGAGGACTAGTTCCACTTAGACCCTGGGTTCCTGTGATACTAGTTGGGAAACCTCGAAGCATAGTGGGTGTTGATAAAAATTGGGAGCGACCTTTACCTTCAGAGTCCCATAATGCGCATGAAATGATGTGAATTGCTGTGTCACGTGACATACACTTTCCCGCCAAATTTAGCGGGTAACTGAATTGGCGCGTAGGTCACGTAACATAGATTTCCCCCGTTAAATTTAGTGGGGAAACTGAATTAATGCTTTGGCCACAAGAAGTGAATTCTCCCACTAAATTTAGTGGGCAAACCAAGCTGACGTATAGTAGGTCACATGGCGTCAACTTCCCCAAGGTGTACAGGTCATATGACGCCACTTTCCCCGCTAAATTTACCGGAAAGTGCATGGACGAACAAACAGAATTTTGAAACAAAAAGATAGCATTCTATGCCTAAAAAAACAAAAAATTAAACTAAATTTGAATTTTAAGGTGACAAGGGTGTTAAAAAAGTACTACTATCTGCTAGTGTCTTGGTATTCAACCGAGAAACTTTTACCTCCTTGATCTAAAACGTAAACGTAAGTGTGCGGTCTCTCTAGACTCAGGGTGCCTCTGTACTCTAAAATTATCTTTGCAATGTATGAAGGTAACTTTGTATGAACTGACCAATATATATATTTTCTCCACATTTCAGTTGAAGTCACTATTTGCCAGCCACATGAGCAGCAACGTGGACAATCTGGCAGTGCTGCAGTTCCTGTGAGTCTCGGCCCCTCGATTACTAGAGAACAATCTCGGTCTCGCTTTAGATCTGGGATTACTGCTTAGACTTTTAAGGCCGACATATACTTTCTGCAAAGAAACAAAAGTATAAGAACAGTCCAGTACGGGGCATTTAGAAGGAAAAACGATTGTTTTTTTCGGTTTTTCTCGCCGCAAAAATAAACTACCGTAATATCCCGAGTCATCGCCCATCCCCGAGCCATCGCCCACCCCATTTTTTTGGGCCAATATCGATTTCCGAAAAAACACCGAGTCATCGCCCACCCCTTCAAATACCCCAGCGCGGACTCTGCGATCCGCGAACACTCATCCTACCAGAATGACGCGGCCGCGGACCTTACAGTTGGAGGACGTCCGTGACAAAGTAAAACGAAGGAGGGAAAGACACTTCTTTTTGTTTACGCATTTCCCCCGTGAGCGACCCCAAAGTGGTCGTGTATCCGTGCGAAAAGAAAACGATGGAGATAACAAAATAAGAGTTTGTTAATGTAACCGCGGAGTGTTACGTTAAAGTCTGTCTCCGCCGAAGTAAGGTCACCGCGAACCCGCTCCTTCTTCCCGCCCGTCGCGACCGCGGTTGTGCAATATTTTAGGCAAAGCCAACGCGTAAATAAAGCTTTGCTGGAACGCCCTACACAGACGTTTGCAGAGCGTCCCAACCGTGCATTGATAGCCCGCCGTGCACGGACGCACGTATGTACGCACCAAACAAGAAAGTTGCGCAAGAGCTTGCAATTGACAAGGCGCCCGACTTGGCCCGACGCCAAAGTATTTGCCAACGCGACCGCCGGCTTTCCCGCTTTCCCAGCATTGCTCTTGGTCGCTTCTTTGGTCCGCTCGCTCGCTCGTTGCGCCTGGTCGGTTTTTTTTATTTTCTTGTAGACTTTTCTTTTTTTTTTTTTTTTTACTAACTATTAGAACATAGTGGTGACTAGGGTGCCTACATGTAGGCACCCTAGTGGTGACATTCTTTCACGGAACAAACGTTCGCGCTATATGCAGATCGGCGGTGTTTCAAGCGCGTATGCAAGCAACGGACTTCGCTATAGTAAAATATTCTTTCGTGAGCATTTTTTTTCTGTAAAACAATGAAACTAAATCGAGTTTTGAGTTTGATGTATCTCTTGTGCATCAGCGCTAGATACGCAGAGAAAAATAGGCGGTTTTTTCCGCTTTTTTTCAAGTGTTTGTGCTCACCCACCGAGACATGGCCCACCCCACTTTTTTAATGAATTTCAGGCGGTTGGGGGGTGGGCGATGACTCGGGATATTACGGTATATGTCAGTGAACACTCAGTCTCCACCCAATTGTGGTGTGCTAATGGTTGGGACCAGATATGGCGATTTTTCAGCACTTACCGTTACCTGATTCAAAAGTTATAAGCAATTTAAAAAATTTTCAGTGAAGAAGCAGTGCTCATTCCTGGTCGCAGACACTGTTCATCCCCATGCACATGCGAGTTCCATTGGCCACCATTTCCTCACTGAATTCTTCAAAAATCGCTTGTAACTTTTGTATTAGAAAACGGTAATTTCTGAAACTGGCATCTGCTCATTAGAACTGTTTTTTTCCTTCCTTTTGTCTTTTCTTTTTTTACTGTTTCGAACTTGGTGTATTTTATTTGCCTCCCCTTATATAAAGCTCAATGGAGGGGTACGAAAACAAAGCGACATGAGCGCGAGCTCTCTACCCCTCGCTTCAAAGTCTGCCAGCGAGAAGCACAACACGTATCGTGCTTGTGACATCAATAGTTCATGCATGGCCAAGGGTACTGTAGTTGCGAACCTTGCCGCTTGGTGGCGTCAACCCGTGACGATCTCGCCTGGTAGTGATATCCGAAGGCTGTATGCCCATGGACTATAGACAATTATAAGCATGGAGCCCCGACTGGTGCCCTGTGCGTGCAAGACCGTACAATGTGCGCGTGAACCTAGCCTTGACGAGCTTACAATTTCACAAGCGTGCCCATACTAGCAGAAACAAGGTGGCGGCCAGTCGCCCCGCTTGCAATCGTCTATACGTAGCATGTTTGTAATGTCATTCGCGGCCATGCTGGTATTTTATGAGCCTGAGCATTCGGTTCACCGCGCTAGTTTCACAGCGCATAAGTAGTAGCTCGAGGGAACCAGTAAGTAGAAATGACGGTCAGTACTTCAGCAGGGGCGACACTGGCAAGCTATATATAAGGTATCTGAAGTCTCCAGGCTTGATCTAAAATGGGCCGTAAAAATCGGCGCCTGCACGTGGCAATCTGAACTTTTCGTCAAAGATGTATTTCACAGGTCGGTTTTATCATGCAAAATTACCGAGCGTAACTCCCTTTCTGTAAAAAATAGGGCCGAAAACTTGCCAGGGTCAACGGGTGGCGGCGATGCAGGCAACCAAGTCGAGTGGCAGGGCACGTTTGGCTCACATATTGATAGATGCATGGTGTTGGGAGCAGCGTCGGAAGGTGTAGCCGGCCGGCGAATGAGAGCAGATGACATGAAGACGAAATCCGTCGCCAGCAAAAGTGCCGTCGTTATGCAACCATGCTCTTTTTTTTTTACTTCAAGTTTTGGTACATTACAAAAAAGATTATGTTCATTTTAGTAGACCACAATCTTCGCGAGCAGTCTCAATAAGGAGGTCGCAGCAGGCTGCAAGTCCCGGTCTCTTGATCCCACCGTCTTGCATAGCCCCCCTGCTGTGTATCGAGTGAAGAAAAATGTTGGGTATAACATTAGTTTTCTAATGATAGTTTTCTTAAACAATGTCAGTGTGTTCCTGACAAAACCGACCATAATCTCTTTCACAATTCGTGTACAAGGATAAAACTCTGCGCTGCATTCCGTCTCGCAACTGCAAGTATCTACTGTAAAGTTAATTCATATTAAGCCAGGGACTCAGAAGATGACCTTTTTAAGTGGTGTTGCCCTCCTTTAAAGGAGGACACTACCCAAAAGGGTCAGCTTTTGCAAGCAAGGCCACTGGCCACCGCCATGTCTCTGCTCGTGCCAACAAACCCGTGCAATTTCAAGCTTGCCAAAGCTACGTTCACACTCAAGCTGCACGTGCTTGCACTCGTGGAGCACCAGTTGGGGTGCCATGCTTGCAATTGTGTATAGTAAACGGGGTGGCGTCCTTCGCCAAATCACATTCAGGACTAAGTCACTCCACGAGCAAGCCATATTACCGTAAACTGACGCTGCTTCTTAGGAACTCACGACGTGGCAGCATTCTAACTGAGCTTCATAGACTGCCACCAGAAGCAATATTGAATTCTGTTAATTTTAAAATTAGCCCTCTCTACCTCTCTGCCTGCAAACTGGAAACGCTAGTCTAAGCTAGTGTTTCTGGGTTGCTGGCTCAACATAGGCCACATCTAAACAAAGAAAAAAGTGCAAACATTCTGTTTCCGCACCCCTTTAAGGTCTTATGAATAAAACGAAATCTGGTCCCAACTGCCGGCGCCATACTCCGCTGAGACCGAGCGTCAGGCTCGTTGGCCGACGCATATGGTTTATTTTTATGGCGACAAATGCACGATTCTCTTCTCTTCCCCTTACGCCTGGTACTTCTCAAACATCTCAAACATTTCTTGCAGACTGGGGGAAGGGTAAGGAGCGTAGCACTAGAGGACTTGTCTCGCGCCTTTGCGCAGGACTGACGCCGTGGTGCAGTTCCACGTGTTCGGGCGAAAGGAGGACGGTCCTGCGGTGCGGTCCCTGCTTGAAGAAGCGCTGAAGGTCGGCAAACTGGGACCCTTCACAGTTGACCGTGGATTCTTGCAGCTCCAAGAGGAACCAGGTACTGTATCATGCTACGTGGGAAAGTATCGCCTCCTCGTACTCCAGAAAGAATGTGCGGTCCCACGAACGTTGACGAGACGTAGCGTTGCTCCGAGGACGTTTGTGGGACCGCGTGCTTCGTCAAGAGTCTCTCTCGGGGTCAGTGGGCATTTGGGCGTTGCCAAGTCTCACTGGGCCCACTGGAGTGTGAAGCGAAGCCGTGGGATTGCATTGCCGGTTTGCGCATCCCGGGGAGAGGGTGCGCTTCCACGGACATGTTTAGAATGTTTGTGGGACATTAGGCAACGACGTGTGGTCCCACGGACGTCCACAGGATGTCTGAGGACATTAGGTTGCTCCAGGGATGTTCGTGGGACTGCACGCTTCGTCGGAATTCTTTGTCGGGGTTGAAAACAAAGCTGTGGGATTGCAGCACTGGTCTGTGCATCCCAGTTGAGAAGAGGTGCTCTCGCGGACATTTTCAGAACGTTCACGGGACATTACGACGTTGCAGTGCCATGCATCGTCTCTCAGGTTGCCGTACCTGTGAGTCAATGAGGGGCGTTGGATTGCTGTTGAATTTCGTTCCACCCAGTGGAGCAAAATGCGAGCGTTCAGTTGGTTGACCACGTTCCAGTGTTCATAAAGTTATTTGTATTGATCACGTTGGTGCTGCTAACCAGAACCAATGCCACTTCTGTTTCACATGTCTGAAATAATCTAGCTGCCCTTGAATATGAAGTATGGTTGTCTTGAGCTTTGTGACCTTGGCGTTAATATTCCACTGTGTGTGGTGACAAAAGAATTGCTGAAATATTTACTTTTACATTTGAAGAAGCAGTGTTGGATAAGGTACATCTAAAAGTACTTCAAATAAAATACAAAGTAAATTAGAGGTTATGTACTTCAAGTAAGGTAGTAAATACACTGGGTGCAATGTACTCAAACTAATTAGTACTATAAGTACAATGTACTTTCAAAGTAAAGTACAAGTACTTTGGACAAATACTGTGTCCAAAAGCCAACACGTTCCCAAGTTTATATTACAAGTACTTTTTAACACAAACTTTCATGGTGACTTTTCATTAGTTATTTTTGGAAATGGCAGCAAATATTGGATTAAGTCAAGTGGCTGCAGTGTTGATAAAGCATCATTTTGTAATACCAATTTAACAAAATAAAATTTGGGCAATGTACCGTGAGTTGTACTTTCCTTCGAAGTACAAGAAAAAAATACTTTAGGTACATGCACATACTCAGAGAATGTGCTTAAATTAAAAGTAGGAAAGTACAAGTATTCTAAACAGCCTTGAGGTAGTACTTTAAGTACAATGTACTTAAGGGGGGACACTACCTTGAATTGCACTTTTTTTTCAAAAATATTCATATTCAGAACTGCAGAGTTTTGGCATGTATGGATAACAAGGAACACTCTCACAAAGTCTTGTCAATGTGCACTGACAAATAATATCAAAAATAATTATCCTTTATATATTGGTGAGGTGTGCTGCCCTGCATAGCACTCGTCATCCACAAGTGAAAATAACTGAATTCAATATCAGTATATCAGAAGTTTGAGGAAGACATCACCTGCACTGCTGGAAAGAATTTCTGACATTTAACATGCAAAAAGATATTTTTAAAATGTTATCTTGAAACTTCAAGGGCATTTATCTCAGCTTCACCTTTTAGTGTCAAATATCAGTTCAGGGAAGCTATCGTTTCATAAATTATGTGTGCAGACATATTTGGGTTTTTCTATATCAAAATTTTCTGGAGAACACGACTGAACATACTTTCTGCATTTTTCTGCTCTTTTGTTATGAAAAGTTTATATTTCTTTTAATCAAATGTACACCAAAAAAAAATTTGTTTTCCATATTTTTTTTTTGTGAATAAATTTTATAATTTTTGAAATTTCTTTTCATAGTCGTCTGAAGCAAGTATTCTGCTGTATGTTCCAGCAAAAAAACTGGCCATTTTCATTACCCTTTCTAAACGATAGCTTTCCTCAACAGATACACTTTTTGATTATGAACTTTTATGTAACTCATCGTGGGATAAATTTATAGAGTTGAAAAATTCCACGGCATCCTTGTCCAGTGCTATGAGTACACCCTGCAAATTTCATGGAAATAAGACAAACGATTCAAAAGTTAGCCTTCCGGAGTAGTGTTCCCCCTTAAAACACTTTTCAAAACTGTGAAGAAGGTACAAATCTTTTACCATTTGAAAAAGAAAAAGAAGTTACAAATCTTCTAACATTTATAAAAGTTACAAATCTTCTAACATTTATAAAAGTTACAAATCTGACATTTGAAAGAGGTGCAAATCTTTTTTAAACCAGAAAAACTTTTTATTTTAACAGGGGTTTTCTATGCAAAGCGGTAGATTCTATGGGGTACCATGGAATCTACCGCTTTGCATAGAAAAACAAATTATTAAAAAAAAAAAGTCTCTTCGCTTGCCGTCCTCCCTCCCCCCCCCCCCCCCCTCCCCCCCCCTTTTTATTGACCTGGAGCCGTTCCTCGCAGCAATGCACGTAGAGGCGATGGAGGTGTCACGCTCTCCCCGTGTGGGGGACGAGCTGATGGTGGCATGCATGGCGGTGGGGTCGAGTGCCCTTCGGGTGCGCTGGTTCAAGGACGGATTCCCCGTGGACCCCGAGGTGCCCTTCCGCTCCCTCTGGACCTCCCTGGTGCCCAAGAACTCCAAGGACCAGTTCACGGCCCTGCTGGCAATAGACCGGGCGTCCACCCACGACGCGGGTGTCTTCACCTGCCAGGTAGGGCCGGAGAGAATGTGGACGCGCCGGATGCACTCTATAAAGTTCGCGCAACTTGCTTGCGTGCCACAAACGCTTGGAAAGGACTGCGGAACTCGCTTGCGTGAGTTATCGTACAGCCGTAAAATCCCGAGAGATGCCCCACCCCTGAAAGGTAACTCGCCCCCTATTTTTGGCTCTATTTGCTATTTTTTTTAAACACCGAAAGATAGCCCACTTCTAGTAATCATAGTGTTGGGATCAATGATGACCTTGGCGTAGATGTTTCTAGCTAGCCATGGTGGGATATAATCAAATATTGCTGACTGGGAAGTACTGTCATCTTTGCTTCATTGCCCCTAGCTGTCCACAATAACAAGTTTGGCAGACACATCATCTAATACAGGGGTCTCCAGACTTTTTCGCTAAGGGGCCGGATAGAGGCTTGTCACTGTCTCGAGGGCCGGAAATATAAATGGGCAGATGTAAATGAGGGAAATCTAAATAAATAATCCTATATATCTAAGCATTTAAATATACAATATTTTAAGTTAGAGTAACATAAAACAAAGAGATTCTAATGTGGATGAATGCATTCAACTTTTATGAAATTTAATCATTTAGCAGCTGATGACATCACAAAATAATGGGAGCCCAGAAAAAATACCAGCATAAACCAGAGCGCATAGAAACTTTGGCACGTTTACACAGGGCAGAAGACTAGTGAGAACGATAGAGGTTATGCTGACAATATTTAATAGTTAGGACAGAGTACACCAAGCGCAATATACATAGGGCCGTAAATTAATTTTGATGTACTTAGTTACCCAAATATGGAACAGGGGACTAGGAGTGTAGATTCTGCGAATGACAATGTCCAATTACTAATATGACCAGAGGATACGCCTTGCGGTAGGCAGCTTTTTCTCGTTTTTTCTGGTAACTTCGTTTACGCGGTTGGTGCGCGCCGCGACACCGTTTTACACGCGCTTATTTTTTTGCCAGTAGCAGCGGGCGTGCTGGAAGCGGGCCGTGGGCCGGGCTCCATTGGGAAGACTGCAGCTAGTCACGGGCCGGTCGGAAGACCTCCGCGGGCCGGATTTGGCCCGGGGGGCGGGGTTTAGAGACCCCTGATCTAATATAATAGTATTTTTTCAACTTTTCTTGATTGCACAGCGAAAGTTAGCCCACTTCTTATTTTCACCAAATTTTCTCTCGATTTTCGGTAGGCTATCTCTCAGGATATTACAGTAGTTTATTAAAATTGTGGCCAGTGGAACCATTTTTTTTTTTTTAAGATGTGCAAGGGAGAATTATTTTAAAATACAGAACATTTGCCCATTCTACAGCGGGCACTCATCCCTCAATTTTGTAACATTTCGAAAATACACAAAGGACATATCTTTACGTATTGTTTACCCAATGGAGCACCCATCCCCTGGTTTTACGTGAATATCTCAGAATTTCGGGCGGGCGCTTGCTCGGGATTTTACGGTAGGTTCCATCGCACGTTTTCGGTACATTTTCGGTACATTTTCTCCTCCTTTACATGAAAGGCACTGTTGGAGAGTATACAGGAAAGCTATGTCCTGACTGAGTTTTTTTTCAAGCCCATTCCTGGAATGCCATATTTTATGCGGTGTAGGCTACGTACAAGTGCAGACTATACAAGAATTTTTTTATTTTTTTTTCTGAATTATTTATTTTTTTGAGACCTGACGGGTTTTGTGAATGACAGAGTATGTTAATGACGACTTCTGTATGATATAAGCTTCTTTGTAAGGTAACGATGCAGGCATTTTTCCGTGTGCTGTATACTTGGTAAGCTATTACTGGCGGACTGTGTACTGATATCTGAGGAAAATTGATTTTTTTCAACCGAAACTTGCTTTTGTGGGCACTAGTTCACAATGGGAGTGTACTAGTGTTCAGAATATATATCTGGGCTAGGCATTCCTCTGGCAATTTTTCAGGGAGAACCACAGCTGACTTCTAAGTACTTTTTTGAAATTTGGTCCGTGATAAGTAATTGAACCTCTTGACAGAGCCTTCTCACCGACTATCGCTAACTTTGCTTTTGCGAACTAAATAGTGAGGTGTATTTTTTCTTCTAAAGTGAAGCACTCAATTTTAATAGTCATTAAGTTCTGTTTTATCAAAGATGAGTTTGGCCTGAAACCAGAGGGCACCCAGAAAGATTGTGTTGAAGGTGCACTCGTTTAACCAAAAAGTATGCGTTCTGTCTGTTGCAGTCTACTTGAACTGTACACTTAACCCAGTTAACATACATATATATGTGTAACTTTGATTCTATATCATAAAACTTTTCGGTTCCTTTTTTTACTTTACTGAGAGTGCATCTCTTTACGTGCGCACTTCTCCCAACGTCTCCTCTTCCGACCGCGTGTCCACACAGGTCAGCGACTGGGGCGCAGTGCAGAACAAGAGCGTTAGGGTCCGTCTGGACGTGGCCCCCCGCCCCCTCGTGTCTCCGCTGTCCCTGACCCTCGTGGAGGGGCAGCCGTTGGAGCTGCTCTGCCTGTCGCCCGGCGGTGTTCCGCTGGGCTTTCGCTGGCTCCGCAACGACCACCTCCTGCCCCCCAAGGGACCGGAGAGCACCGAAGACCTCTACCCAGCCGGGTCACGGCTGGTGCTGGGCGCGGCGCGCGCTTCGGCCACATACACATGCGTGGCAACGGGGCCGCTAGGAGCGGATCGTGCCGACGCGCTCGTCACAGTCTTGGCACCCCACGGTGAGCAAAGCGGGACGTTGCGACTCGAGCGTAGTTTAGCACTAGCTCGTGTCGGAAGCGTACCTTGGACGCTGGCATAGGTAATATACCGTGAAATCCCGTAAGGGCGCCCTTCCCTGTGAGATCGCCCATCCCGTTTTTCTGGCTGAATATCTAAAACGTAAAAATACCGAAATATCGCCCACCCTCATTCTCGTCGGACATTACGCGATCTGCGGTATCGGTATGTCTGACAAAAGAGTTTCTAGCAGGTTCACGCATTTTTGTCCGTGATCTGCACATGTGACATTGGCTCATGTGACGTGCAAGTTGATCCCGCGTGTTTATTGCATCGTAAAATGCGAGTCTCCTGCGTCCGCGATCCGCGGTATTTGTTCTCAGGGCATGCACATTCTTAGTGGGTTTCCGCGTTTTTTGTCCGCGATATGCGCACGTGATATCGGTTCTCATGTTGTATGAGTTGTCCCGAATGTTCGTTGCACCGTGAAATGCAAATCTGCTGCGTCCGCGATTCGCGGCATCGGTTCCCATAGCATGCGAGTTTGCGACAGGTTCCTGCGTGACCTCCGCACCGTGTACTGTGTTTGCACAATTCTAACGCATACTTTTTTTTGTCAAAATCGGTGCCCAAAACTACATGCGCGTTACAATAAAAAATAATACAACTCCCTGTAACACCGACTGAGAGCGCAGCTCTTGAGGAGGAGGAAGGAAGGGTACTCGGGGGGGGGTGAAGTGACCTGGGGGGGGTCACGTGACGATGCCGATGATGTCATCAGTGACGTCACTGATGACGTCATAAGTGACGATGACGATGTGGACTCCGATGATGTCATCAGCGATGATGACGATGCGGATGTCACTGATGACGTCATCCGTGATGATGACTTTGCGGATGCCGGTGACGTCATCAGTGACGTCACTGATGACGTCATCAGTGACGATGACTATGCGGATGCCGGTGAGGTCATCAGTGATGATGACGATGCGGATGCCGGTGACGTCATCAGTGACGATGACGTCATCGGGGAGGTCACGTGACCCTGGGGGGTGGTCACGTGACCTCGGGGGGGGGGGGGGGGGGGGTCGCGTGACCTTGGTTACGCCGACGCCGCTCAAGCCGGGAACGGGCCCCTAAGAGCTGCGCTCTAAAAACTAAAACTTGAGAAAAACGCAATACTCGGTATTAGGTGGCTAGCTCCCTCACCATCGTAACTGTTTGTTTACATTCGCCATTTTGGTATTCGTGTCGTGCGCACTCTCACCTGTCTATAAAATTGTGTCTGCCGTTTTAAGATGTAAAAAAAAAAATCCACTGGGAGGCTTTATTTAACCGAAAGGCTGTCGCAACGGTGGGAAAAATAACAACAGAGCAGCACTGCGTTGCCTTGCAGTCCCAGCGACCCAACGAGCTTGCCAAGTGTTCTTTGGAAGACGATTCTTCCAAAGGCGACGGTTGCGCACTTGTACATGCGCAAGAAGGGTGGTGCTTCAAACGCTTCAGACAAAAAGCAGGGTTCACCTCTGTGGACAGCAAAGAACCATCGTCGAGCTCTGACAACGGCGGCTAGTACACAGCATTTATTTTTGTGTTGCCGTTCGTTTCATAAAATCCGTTCTATTAAGTATGTGTTCCATCTTCACTATTTTACCTGTGTGGTAGAATTGACCACAATTTACTTTTTGGATATCTGAAAGCTAAATCTGCCTGCACGTTAGGATCGTGCAAACACTGTAAAGCGAATCTGCTGCATCTGCAACCCCTTTTACTAAAGACACAGGATGTCGTAGCAAATTACCGCGTGTTTATCACATCATAAAACATAAATTTGCCATATCCGCAATCCACGGTATCAGTTCCCGTTTTATGTGGTTTGTAGCGGATAACCCAAAGTCTTGTCACATTTTTTTTATAACTTTTTGCCGTTGCATCCCCAAAGATAGCCCGCCCCATGTTTTTCCCAATTGATCTCTTCATTTTGGGTGGGTGTCCTTACGGGATTTTACAGTAGTTTATTTGAGTGGCACAAGTGAAAACGTGGTGATGCAATGGCACTGTGAGTGCCACCTTTCGAACACTGCACGACGGTTGACGCACTAGGAAAGATGCGCTCGTGCACACTCTGCTTCTGTGTCACCTGCTAGCAAACACTGCCTCCTAGCCAACGTTGTCTGCGAACAAATATTGTCTGCTAGTAAACATTGTCTGTTATTGAATGTTGTCTGTTAGTGAACATTGTGTTTTTTGCTGAACACGCTTCTTATAGTGCAAGGGGTGTGCTTGTACCTCTCTCCGCTTTTGTGTGATTTATCAAACACCCTGCTAGCCAGTGTGGTTTGTGAGCAGATATTGTCTGCTAGTGAATATTGTCTGTCGGCGAACAAGCTTGACATGGCACTGGGGATACACTTGTGCCACTTCCACCTTTAGCATTTTCCCCAAGAAAACATTGCCCACTTCAATGTCGTTGTCTGCAATTGATCTTGACCACGAATGAAAACATAGCGACACAGTGGGGACGCTACTGCAAGTGCCACCTTTTAACTGCCCCACAAAGATCCTTCACAAAGGATCCTAAATGCTGTCGCATGACCTTAAAATCATATATGTATGCCCGCCTCTTTTGAAAAAAGACAAATGGTAAAAATATTGGGTGGGCAATCTATAAAAATGAGACAGCCAAAGATTAAAAAAAAAATTACGGGTAAATATTGTGGGGCTAGCTGCCAACAACACGGCGCAGAAAACTGGTACTGCAGACCGCGGACACAGCAGATTCGCATTCCACGGTGTGATAGACCTGTGAGAACTTGCTACTGACTCGCTTGTCACACACATACCGATACTGCTGATCATACGGTTACTATGATTCCCGCAGATCGTCCTACGAAAATCTGGCATCAGGGGGTGGGTGATGTTTTGTAACTATGCATATTTAGCCAGAGAAACAGGATGGGCGATCACTCTATCTCTCGAGTGGGGGAAGACGGGGGCGGGGTGTTCATGCGGTATTTTACGGTACGTCTCTTCCGGCAATAGCCAGAGAGACTAGTTTTTCGAAGCAGCAGTCTCCCGCTTGCAGCCGCAGAAGAGGTCTGTCCACCTGAAGAGTCCCACGGGGTGGCGTGGCAACGGACGGCTACCCACTCTCGGGACATCCAGCCCTGCCCGTCCCCTCCCTTTGTGGAGGGCCAGGCTGTGCGCTCCTGCGGCCTGTCCCTCGAGCGCAGGCCCCTGTGGGGCAGCCCAGACTTCTCCGGCTGCGCGGATGCCAGGCTGGCACAGCTCAGGTGGAAGGCAAGTGCAACTGCAAGCGACTGCTTGGGACTTGGAAAAACACCAAATCCCACCCCCCCTCCCCAGATAACAAACAAAACAAAATTTGAATGGGTTGGGTAGGACAGGTTGTCGCCAAATTAACTTTTGGTGAAAAAAAAAAATAAAGAAAATGTTTACTGCAATGTTTTCGTTGCGAGGCTCGTTTTATAAGTCGGGAGCAATTTCAAAATGCTCCTCTATCTTGAAGCGTCGACCCTGAAATAGAAGCGTAATTTGGAATCGCTCAAACGAGTCTCGGGATGTAAATATTGTGGTAGATATTTTGTTTGTTTTGGGAAAGTTTATTTTGTGCTTGTGTATCTTGTCAAGGCACTTTGTAAATCTTTCAGCCTTTTTACTTTGGTGAAGAAGGAAGACCAGTGAAGCTGTACTATGGTGGGAAGGAAGTAATGGCCGGCCGCAATTCGGGAAGCCAGAGTGGAAAGTCTGGAAAGGTTGTCATTGTCGCTCATAGATGGCGGTAGCTGTCCAGAGTTTTGTGTCACCATTTGTTTGCTGGTGGGCACGATCCTGGGGAAACTAGCCCTTAACAGCTCTGCTGTAAAAAAACTTTTTTGGGGAGTTCGGCATTTTTTTAAGAGTAAGTGTTTTGAGCGCTGCAGTCTTCTGAAATCACAAGACAATGTTCTGGGGTCGCGACAGTTTGCGGCACGGAGGTGGCCTTGAACCTCAAGATGTGTTCCAATCGAAAGCTCAAAGCAAATGCAGTAAGCCTGCGATAATTCAAATTTCGATATTTCATGCTTGTGGTTAATCCAAACAAATTTTAAAATTTTGGTTGTCCTGCTGTGTTCTTTATGTATTCATAAGCTGCTCGATTTGAACGGCGTTTTCATTTAATTCATACTTTTTGTTCTCGCGACCGAGTTGAGTGTGCTTTTTTCCGAGCAATGGTGCACTGCAGAGAGGCAACACCCGCTGAACTTCCTTTTGCTGGTATTGCTTCTCTGCAGCGCTCCGGTGCTTGGCGAGAAGTGCACTCAACGGGCCTCAAGAAGGGCACACATGAGCTATGAGAACGGGCACCACACTGAAATTTCCAGAGCAACTTGCACAAACGCTCTTATGTGGTGGCATGTCATAGGTCCACGTCATGGCATCCGTGCGAGTGGCTATGAAAACTGCAGCGTGGTGCCTGTTTTCATCGCTCATGTGTCCCCTGTTTAATAGTTCATGTTAGACGACAACTTGGCCCAATGAACCATCTTAATTTTGTTTTGAGCTCTCATGTGCTGCCTGGACAGTCCACGATAAACAATGTTTTTGAGGAATAAATAAACTTATGTCATACATTTCACAAATGTTTTGTGTATGGCGTACCTCCTTATGATCAATAGGCCTATGTGGAGGAAGCCGTAAAATATCTGCTTTGTGAGTGTAGCCATTCATTTGGTAAATCATAATTTTATCTTGCATCATATCTGGATAAATTTCGGATAATTAAAACTTCTGATAATTAAAACAAAATTCCGTGGGTTCTTGAGTTTGAATTAATGAGAGTCTACTGCACAAGCTAGTGCCCATCACGAATTTCCGAGTATACATTGTCTCCGTCGTCGAGGGCACACGGGAAGAAGTTCCCCTCGTCCTCTTTTCTTGCGTCCACGCAGCTGGAGAGCCTGCGCATGGGTTACCTGGTGTCGTCGCCGCCCCAGCTGGCGTCCGAACTGAGAGGCTACCTGTCCGGTCGCGCCCTGGGTCCCGGAGAGGGCCAGCCCCTTGTGTCGCTCCTGGCGGGGTTGCTCGGCTACCTGGAGCACCCCCTCCTGCGCCAGGGGGGACGCCCCGCAAGGGCCGCGGTCGAGGTGAATCCTTCGTGGTTGCTGTCTGTCTTGTCTGTTTATTTATCGGTTTGTTTTGTACGCCCTCGGATAGCTCTAAGACACTCGGGTTTTTCATATATTTCTGACTTTTTTCGCACGTCATTCTTTCTTGGCTCGAGAAACTTTTGACAATTGTAATGAATGGCCCTTTCTCATAGACGGTAATACTTGCATTTGATCTTGCAAATATTGTTTCACCTTCGCTCTGGTCGAATGCAGTTGCAGGGCCATCTCATAGATTGTGCCGGCATGTTTGCTCGTCGCAAGATCGAAAATGCTCGGTCGTACGCAGATGTTAGTGTGTGAGTGGGCCTTAGGGCATTAGAGAAAACTATAGTGATGAAGTAACAAGGAGGAGTCGTTAGTATGGTAAAATATGACTCCTAGTTAAACAATATTGGCTACGCCATTCTTGAACTCTTCGGGATCTTTGATCGATGCTGTTGTCGTGGGTAGGCGATTCCACTTTTGCGATGTCTTGAAAAAACGACTGTAGCAGTGCTGCGACGACGGTTAAAGGGAGGACCCCAACATTCCTTATGTCCTTTCTCCTCCAACTCATTAAATTTTCACATGTGCTGCAATTTGTTGTGCTAGGTGCAAACAATTGTTTTTTTATCCATTGTAGTTTTCAAGATATTCACACCTTTATCACATACATTTCTCTCTGACTTTTTTACAATACCCCTTGAAAAACTATGGCAAAAAACATGTCTGCATGCTATACAAGGAGTTGACAGTGCAACAAAACTACTATTATAATTTTAGCAGTATTCTAGAAAAAGCTGTTGTGTGTTCAAAATGTTTAACTGATAATTAAGAACGAGTCAATAAAGTTTATGCATATTAGAAAACACCTTGCAGTTAACACTTTCCAGGAATCTTGCTCTTGTGGCACTCTTTTATCTTTGAGGTATCCAAAAATTCTAAAAAGTATTCAGACACATGCGACAACCTGACGATTTCCATCATTGGTCATCATTCTTTTTTCTGCGAGATATGAGATGTATAAGGGGTGATTGGATATGGCGAGAGGAGCTCAATCTATATGTTTCCCAACATTTGAGATCACTTATGCTCAGTGAAGGGTTTGACTGTTTTGAAAGGGATAAGTACTATACACCAGGCATGGGCAAATAGTGTATTTTGAGTTTGAAGCGAATTCGAAGCGAATAGTGGTTTTGATTGAATCTTTTCTAATAGAATACTGAATAGTTCCTCCAAGCTTTTCCCTACTGCACCATGCCTAAACAAAAACCCATCTGAACTCGTAAAGGTTGTTCCCAAGCTTCCACTTGTCCTCATCCAAGCTAAGTTAATTTTAATCTAGCTATATTGATGGACTGTGACCTCAGAAAGCCCATTGCCTACACAGGAATGGCAAGTAAATGATGCATTTGACATAAAATGAAACCTAAAGAGATGACCAGCTATACCTGATCAAGGGGGGATTCATAAATCTTTTTGCTATATGCAAATATTCTTTACTAAATTTAGAATTTGAGTAATTAAAAAAATCATGAGCCATTCCGCTTTGTGAAGGTGGATGACCAGCGAAGCTGTTTACCACACGTCACAGACGTGACACAGAATTTTGAACAAAGGTACAAACACATTTGTTGTCTTGATCGGTAGTCATCGTGACGAAAGGTACGCACACACATGTCGAGGGCTGTCACCGCCTCGAGGAGCCGGAGGAAACTAGACGCGCGACGGGACCGCCACCCAGCAGAGGAAAAGAAAACTAGGCACGCAAGCGCTTGGAACGACGATAAAGAGAGGGAGATGCCAGCCCGCTCCGAGTTTTTGTTGATGCACACCAAGAATGCTCACAACCTTAGCCATAAACAGCTTCAGTGTACAAAGACAATCATGAATGATGAATGTAGGTTGTCAGGACATCTCTCCTAATATATACTCTTGCATAATAGCCACAGTTTAGTTTTAAAAATTTTACTGTTGTGTAGATACCAACATTTACAATGATTCCATTTATTTTTATGCACACCATATGCACGCGCGCACCATCCCGCTTTGAAGTGGGCATTCATCTTAAGAACATGACCGCAATATTCATACTTTTCAAAGTGTTAACCGCTGCCGGTTAGCCCCATTGAGCATGCTTCTCACCAGGCAGTGGTGCGCTGCGGAGAAGCAACACCCGCAGAAGCGAGCTTCGGTGGTGTTGCTTTCCACAGTGCATCGGTGCTCGGAAAGAAGCGCGCTCGACAGGGCTAACCGGCCACGGTCAACACTTATAAAAGTGTGAATATCAGAGTTCATCTTGAACCGAATGTCGAATAACATATTATTCAAAACTACTTTTTGAAAATTAGAATATTTGCACAACTCTGCTATTCTCCATTTCATATGTTTTTTTTTTCTTTTCATTCCTCTTCACCTCCCCCACTGTTCGTAGGCCTTCTTGGACGTTAGCTCGCACCTTCTCTCCCACAAGCCCCTGCTGCTACAGGACCAAACCGTGAGTGTCGGCGTGCACGAGGATAACGGTTCTCATTAACTCGTCAATTGTTAATTAATCCTTCGAGTGCCACGCCGAGGTATACTCGGGCACATTCTCGTGTGGTTTGAGTTTCGGTTTGCTTCCTGCCCCTCGCTGCTGGGCTCTCACTTCTTTTTAACTGTAGTTGCATGTATGAGCTAGCGATGAAAATAATATTTGATCTTCTGGCGCAACACTTATTGATGGCACGTAAATTTTTGTTTTTGTTTAGGCAACTTCTGTTTTGTTGTGTTCCTTCGTTGCTACGGTGTGGCAAATTTATGTCGTTCGGCCTCACGCTTCATGGCGAGCACAGAGATCTAGGAGTTACTGATTAACTCAGCGTCCGACGGCCATGAAAACGAGGACGTTACAGTTCCGAATAAACAAAGGCCGAGTAATGCCGCTCAAAGGAGCGACCTCCGGGTGCGGGGTCAAGGTGCCACCGTGTGTCAAAAAGTACAATACGAGGAATGTGTTATAGGTTGGAGGCGCGCAGATCTTCAATTAGCTTTCTGCCCATAAAATAGTGTGCCTTTTATAATTAAATATTCTTTGCAGAGCATGCAACGGTGTTAACAAAGCTGAAATTTGCGTTCGGCGTAAGGGGGAGAAAAACCCGGCACTCAGGGGGGGTAACAGTCTCATTTTCGTTGTTTGTGTCACGTGTCGTGCAGTTCATGGGCGACCTGCAGAGGCATGTGCTGCAGTTTGGACTCCTTGCCTCGGAGGCGCTTGGCCCTGGCACCATCTTGAACCTTGACCGTCCCGCCCTCGGTGAGTTGGGTCCTTTAATCAGTGTGGGTGTGGCGCGGTACCATGCCCGGAACAGATGTGCATGCGTGACGGCGCGAGAGTGACCGTCTGTCAAGAGACGCGAGGTTGAAGTACTTGTTTGCTCGAATGCGGAAATAGCGACCTGCTGTCTTCAAATCATAACTTGTCCAGTTTTAATTTCAATGATTTACTAATTTCTAAAAGTCTTAACAGCTCCTAAAAGCCGTGGACAAGGTACACAAAGTGGGCACTACCGTAAAATACGGAGGGAAACTGGGTTAATCTAGACGTGGGTACTTGTCCAATCAGATTGGGTGCTTAGCGTATAACTTGCCCAATTCCAAAGTTTTAGAAATGTTAATAGTGGGTGCTTGAACGAAGTGGGCCCTTCTGCGGTATTTTACGGTAATTATACAATTAAATAATTAATTATTGCTTTGGCTCGTTGAAACTGGAACTCTGCGTGAAGGCTTAAAACACTATTGCGGGAGAATGCCATAGCTAAGCAGTTACTAGTTTTGCTTAGTAACCAAGATTTATTTATTTGGCGGTAAGTGTTTTTTTTTAATTTTTTTTTTGACTGGTTAGGTGCGGAAATTAGCTGTCTATTTGAAACCAATAAGGATGTTACCCGTTTTCATGTTGGGCGTCTTCAGAACGATTTTGGTCTCCCCGATTCGCCCACAGTGGTGGCTTTGGGGCGCTTCACCAGACGGCCCGGGGAGCCGGTGGTGGTGAACATTCCCGTGGGCGGCGCCCTCGGCGGTTCTACGTCGTGGGCCGGCAATGCGGTGCAGTTACACCTGGCGCCGGCACCCGACGAAGGTGGGTGCCGCTTTGGCCGGAGTTTTACCGACTAGTAGTTCTCTAAATTTGTAGCGTCCCAATATGGTGTCTGGATTGCATCTGGCTCGCATGTTTACGACGTCATTACCGTGATTGCACGGTCCTAACGCACCCCCAATTCCAACACGCAGTCATATTTAGCTCCCATATATTCAAAAAGTAAATTGTTGCCGATTCTACCACACAGGCAAAACAATGAAGGTTGAACACATACCTCGTAGAATAGATTTTATGAAACGCACACCAACTAAAAAATAAATACTGTGCACAAGTCGGCGTTGTCGTAGTGCAACGACGGTTCTTCGCTGTCCATAGAGGTGATCCTTGCTTTCGTCTAAAGCGTTTTATGTGCCACGCTTCTTGCACTTGTGCAAGTGCGCAACCTTCGCCCCGGAGATGGTCGTCTTCCAAACAATGATTTACTAGCTCGTCGGGTCGCTGCGATTGCGAGGTCATGCATCGCTGCTCCGTTGCTATCTTTTCCCGCCAGCGTGATGACCTTTTGTTTAAATAAAGCCTCCCGGTGGAATTTCTTTCGTTTTTCCATCTTAAAACGGCAGACGCGAGAACGCGGACGCGAGAGAATGCACTCGATACGGCAGCGTTGGATACAGATACCAAAATGGTGAATGTAAACCTTGGAGGTGGGAAGCTTCTCGAGGCAACATGACACAATTAGAGGTGAAGCCGGGGGAGGGGAGACTGTCGGTTGGAGGGACACACCTCCAACGACGTCCAAAACCGTTATTGGACAAACTTGGGTGCCCTTGGACGCTATTGGACGACGGACTTTGGCACCCTTAGGGAGCGTTCCCACCTGCCACGACTTTTACTTATGACTTTGCTTGGGGTTTTCTCGTTTGGCTGGCTTGGGCCGGTGTGTCATCTCCTTTTATTCATAGCTTCGTGATGTAAACAAACGGTCATGATGGCGATGGGGCTAGGCACCTCATACCGAGCCTTTAATTTTTACAGCGGAACTGTTCAGGGCTAGTTTCCCCAGGATCGTGTCCCGCGCAAAGAAATGCCGACACAAAACTCTGGTTGCTGCCGTTGCTCATAGATGGCGGTAGCTGTCCAGAGTGTTGTGTTTGCCGGTTGTCCGCTTGCCACCGTCGCTCATAGATGGTGCAACCTTTCCAGCATTTGCACTCTGGCTTCCCGACTTGCGGCCGACCATTACTTCATTCTCACCATAGTACAGCTTCGCTGGTCTTCCTTCTTCACCAGAATGGAAAGGCTAAAAGATTTTCTTTTGTGTTTCGGTTTTTGGATTTGATTGTAACGTGCATGTATATTTGGGCGCTCATTTTAGTAAAAAAACAGTGCATTAGAATCGTGCAAACATGGCATTTAGTCAGCAGAGAGAGAGAGTGAGAGAGAAAAAAATAAAGTTGTGAAGAGCCGATTGACGGTGCTCGCGTCACGACCACTTACGACTGATGACAATGAGCTGGAAAGCCAGGTCTGTGCAACAACCCATAGTGGAATGCAGGAGTTATAAAGCAGTTGGTCACGCTCAAGTGTCTGAATTAGCCTATAGTTTTTCCAGTCCCAAACGAGGGCCGTGTCGTTGCAGAGGAGGCCCCTTCGGAGGTGTTGGTGGCAGTGGCCCTGTTCAAGACCTTGGGAGAACTACTGCCCGAGCGATTCCTGGCACGACATGGGTGCGTCTCTATCACCAGCGTGTTGAGCGCCTGCAACGCTTTCTGTTTCAGCTCTGCTTTTCCTTCCTGGGAGGCACACAGCTTTGTGAAAGACATCGAGACGTCGCGTCTCACCGTGAATGTCCTTTGGGTGTCCATAAAATCACGCATGTCTTCTAAGATGCAGGAAGATCCTGCAATGTTGGAAAAAACCGGGGAACGGAGTCGGAGCTTCTGTTGGTTCCTCGGTCTCGGATTTTGGCAACATTGAAAGGCCACAACGGCTTGCTTGTCTCTTTGCCATTATCTTCATCCAACATTCTGCTTTCTTCTTGTTTTTTTTTTTGCCAATATCATCGTGCCACTACAATCAAGTAAATGGCTGTATGTGAATTAGAAATAAAAATTAAAGTACGATAAAATATTGAGTAAGTTCCCACAGTAAGGGAGGTAATCACCAAAAAATGGGGATGGGTGCTTGTTTGGTCCATGAGGAGGAAAGCAGAAGGAACAGGGCAGGCCTCGTCTTATCCAATGGAACTGTAGAGGAGCAGTACAGGAGTGGTCTGTCGGAACTTATAGTTTTATAATTGGCTGTGCTGCTCTTATCAGGCCTGCTTTGCACTAGCACTCTCGCATCGAGCTTCACCGCTTTGCACCGACGCACTCGTGTAAAGCTTCGCCGCTTTCCACCGGCTCTCTGGAGAAGCATCCGACGCGGAGGAGCACCTCGGCTAGCTCAGTGCGTTCGGAAGCTTGCAGTTGTGCGTGCTTATTGTGACATGGGCGTAGCATAACGTTCTAAAGTAACCTCTCGTCTCTGCAGAGATCAAGAGGACCAGCTGCATGAACTCTACTCCAGCCTGCTGGGTGTCGCCCTGAGCAAAGAAGAAGGCGTCCGAGTGCGAGTGCGTCTCGCTCATTCCCGCCAGGTGAGGCTAGACCTTTAGTCGAGCAGAAAAATCTGCTCCGGTACGTGCTTGTTATGAAAAAGACATTAACTTTTGTTTTGGATTTTTTTTCTTCTTCGGCAACCGACGTACAGGAGCGACGGGAGGCGGTGTGTGGTCGGGCCGATCTTTCGAGAAGGTGAGCTCATTCGCTCTTCCTGCGGTGGCTTGATGCCGGTGGTGCGGGCAACTGTGGTACGGGGTGTGGCATGATTGATACCGGGTGCTCGAAATAATTCAGACAGCGTCATAGACGACCATTTCTCGTAAATGGTGCGTAGATATTTGTGTCTTGAAAATACCGCAAAGCCTGGAGCCTAGTCGTACGCAAATCGTAAGCACTGCAAAGCCTGGAGGCTAGTCGTACGCGAATCGTAAGCGGTCCAGGACTACCCGACAGGTGGCCCCGGTGCCGGTCGTGAGGTTGTGCGTGACTTGGGGTGACGGGTCTCTCTCCCTTCCAGCGCCATTCACTTTTTGCTGGACGGATGCCGCAACGAGAGACGACCCAACAACGAGAGCGCCACTTGGTGCTCTTGTAGGCAGTCCGGCACCCACGCCTTGCTGGTGGAAGAGCCGCGTCAGGTGGGGCGATTTCGCTTTTGAATCGGTGCCACGTGGTGTGCCGTATTGCCGCGTGCGTAGTAAACGAGCACGCACCGTGCGCGCGGCTTTCTTGCGGAGGCATGGGGTTCAGCTTCACTAGCTTACCGTCTCACTTTAGCTTCTCTTCTAGAAAGTTCCAGTTTTTGTTCTTGGCAATTATCGCGTGTTCCGGGTTAGAATCCTCCCAAACACGGCACATTCTTAAAAGCAGCGCTGGTGCACTGGTTTGTCGCCTTTCCTTCGCTGCCGCAGAACATACGGTTCTTTGACGTTTCATTTGTGGGCACAAGTTTGCCCCGTTAAACATGCATTTTTGGTTGTACAGTATTCAATCGTTTTTCGTCTTTGACATTATTACACGGTAAGAGCCTTTTTGAAGTGAGGCAGTCGTGTTCATATTGAAGGATTTCCACTTTCTCTACTGCATCTGTTTCGCGAAATTTGCTGAAGTCCCTCGCACTTCAGAGATACTTGTTGCCATCAAACCTACAAGATTTCCCTATGGACTGACAATTCCTGTGAACTTCAGCAATTTCAATTGCATAATAAATAGTTATTTCCTTTTTTCTCCCCAAATACCGCAATATACTTTACAAAATGGAATGACCTGCCACACTATATTGTGTATTAGAAATACTTAGTATATGAGAGTGTATGGTCAGTTTTAATATTTGTTTTCATTCTGTGCCAAATTGACAACTATTATTTTGTATAATGTCAAGTAAGCATACAGTATTTACTCGCACAATGAACGCACTCGCGTAATGAACGCACCCCCCAAGCCGGCTGTCAAAATTTTGACCCCCTCCCCCCACGCGCGCGAAATGAACACACTTTTCTTTCCTTGTGCAGTGAGGTCGCGAATGCATGGGCAGCGTGGGCGAACAAAACGCTTTGCAAAAGGCGTTAAAAAATTCGCAAAGATCCAACGGAAGCAATAAAAAAAAACATGGAGAGGAGCTTTTTTATTTTTGCACAGCGCAGTCTGGACTTAGGGTTTGCGCGCCGCTGTGCGGAAGGAGGTAAAAAAGAGTAGCAGAGAAGCGCTCTAAGCGAACAAAACAGCTTGCGAAAGGCGGAAAAAAAAAATAAAAAAAACCCACGGAACTGAGAAAAAAACAAAAGAAAAAGAGGAGCTTTTTTTCTTCTTTTTTTTTTTGCACAGCGCTGTTTGGTTACGGGGGTCGTGCCCGCGCCGCGCGCAAGGAGTTAAGAAAGATAAGCGGAGAGCCCTTGCCTAAGCAACGCCTAAGCAAACAAAACAACTTTCAAAAGGCGGCAAAAAAAAAAAAAAAAGCCTAAGCAACTAGGAAAAAAAAAAGAGATTTTTTTTTTTTTGCACAGTTTAGTTTGGTTACGAGGTCGGGCGCCGCCCGCAAAGAGATAAGAAGTTACTTCGATTTTTCAGGATAAAAGGTCCCTTCATTATGCGAGTAAATACCGACGCAAAAGTTTTACTTGGCGTAATGAACGCACCCCCAACTTTGCATCGATTTTTTGGAAAAAAAAGTGTGTTCATTCTGCGAGTAAATACGGTATGTGGCTTAATATGCTCTTTTTTATTTTAATACTATGCAACAGTTGACTATACTAAGTAGTGTGGAAACATTTATTTGTTTTATGAGAGTCTTTCCCTCTACAACTTGTATTGGCCTCAGTCCTCTTGTAATGGACGTTTGACAGTTTGCTTTCGAATCGAATACATAAAATTACATATGTATTAGAAATCTATGTGAGCAGGAGCCAGACAGTGAGCCCTCAGCCGAGTCTCAGAATCACTGATCAGGGCCTGAGTCAGGTTTGATCCCAACCATGAGCCGGGCCAGGCCAATACCGAGTTTTGAAAATCTACTCATCGATATTTTCTGAACAAATAAAGAAAAAAAATGTGGGTAATGACAACAGCCCACCTGCCTTCAATCTGTCGGGTCTGCAGGGTTTGACGGAAGGCGACCAGGAATCGGACCTGATAGCTGGTCTCGGCTGCGGTGCCTGCCTGGTTCTGGTACTGGTCACATTGGTCGTGTTGCTGCTGCGTTGTTGTCGGTACGTACACCTTGTCGAGAATTTGGTCGAGACCCTTGGCGCTATCACACATCCTAGCTACTGTATGTGGAACTACTTTGTGCATGTGAACAGGTGCTTATAGAGAAAATTGAATTTTCTTTCTGGCAGCTCACTTTGTGCCGCATTGTTTGTTTTGCTTCTAAGTACATATGATCTTAATCTGATGAGATCAGTGGACCCTGGGCCCTATGAGGTCCTTAAAACTCAACAATCTAGGACTTTTTAATTTTGAACTTAATTCGTCAATTTCAACAAGCCCTTAAACCCTCCAAAGTCCCTCTTCAACAGTCTTGGGCTTTTTAGACCGTTGAGTTCAGTGGACCCTGGAACCCTGTTGAGTCTATTGAACTGAACAGTCTTCTTGGACTTCTTAATTTGCCGGACTTTTTATTCTGTCCGAATTTTTACTTTGCTGAAATTAAGGGACCTTTGGACTCTCTTGAGTCCCTTACTTATGGTAACATTTGTGTACTTCTTAATTTTTGGTTTTCTTAATTCTTGGACTTTTAACCTTTTGGACCCCTCAATCTGTTGGGCTTCTTAATCCGTTGGACTTCTTTGTATGTTGAGTTTAATGGATCCTTGGACCCTCTCTGTTCGAGTCCCTTAGTCTCGAAGGGTCCAAGGCTCCTCGAAGCTCAGTTTGCCGAGCCCTCGGACTTGACGAACTGGCAGCACGGACTCAGCGACTCAGCAGCTCGCTTGAGGACGGTGTGCCCTGCAGGCACGGCGGCGGAGTGGAGGCCATCCAGGTGCAGGTGTGCCTGGCCCTGTGCGGGGCACTGCTGACGCTCCTGCAGGGGGTGAGGGCCCGCCTGCCACGCTCTTGCTTCCCGTATGCGGTGTCGGCGCTGCAGCTCTGCCTGCTGGCCGCCTGCTGCCTCCAGCTGTGCACGGCCCTGGTGCTCTACATGCAGCTGGTTGACGCACGCAGCGTGAGGCACCCTGCCCTCAAGGTCGCAGCCCTCGGCTGGGGTGGGTGCAGCGTCTCTTGCCTTTTGGCTGGCATTTGTTGCAATGCGCCGGCTGCGTTGGAGGTGTTTGGGAAGTAACGGGAAAGGGGAGGGGGGGGGGGCGAGAAATAGAGCAGAGAAAAGGTTGGGCACCCTCCTTCTTGCCGCAACGAGTGGAAGTCGTTCGAGCATTTGTCGACTTCATTTATTTCTATACAATGCGTGATGCCAATGTCTTTCTGAAAAGTAAGCTAGGAAAGGAGTATAGTGCGTTCCTAGCTTACTTTTCAGAAAAGGAACGCACTATACTCCGTTCACCTCTAAGCTAAGACTAGAAACTCTGCCTTCAGCGCGAGCTCGCTGGCTTCCGCAGTGCTTTAGTTGCGCGTGCTTGTGCGGTCACACTTGTGTTAGCAAGGGCAGAAAGCTCGTACTGAAGGCGGAGCTTCTGGTCTCAGCTTAAGGGTGAACGGAGTATAGGCACAGACCTTACAGCTAATGTTTTGCTGCTGCTTTACGTACGTTAAGATGTCGCCAGCGATATAGGCCCATCGGGACCGTCCACCATGACCACCGATCTCCACGTCTGTGCCCCACCGTTCCGAGGTGACCGGAATGCACGGGACCTTTCTCTCCATGATTATTATATTAGCTTTATCGGTAGAAATGTCCAAAGTGTCTAGCGGGAGGGGGCGGCGGGGGTGTGATCGCCCCTCTCCCGTTTGAATGCCTTCGGTGGACGAGCTACAGACATTTTCGGTGCATCAGCTACTCGAGCCGCCCCCGGTCGGTGTGCGCCCTGGGCCGCTGTTGCCGGGCTGTATTTTGGTCTGCACCTGCGTCTGTTTACCTCGCTTGTGAGCGTATTTGTGACGATGAGCGAACGCAGTGGGATGCGTAAGCTGCATAAACGGCGTTCAACGGCCAAGACGTGCTATCTAGTGGTTTGCAAAAACTGCAATGGCGACATAGGTCTGGAACCGTGCTGTGTGCACTGAACATGCCCCCTGAAGCACAAGGACTGTCCGTGTTTGGTGCCATTCTGCGATGCACCGATTGATACTGGCAGCACTTTTTCTCGGGCTGCGCTCGCGAATTAGCGACTAATCGTTTGCGGGAGACTTTCTACCCAACGCATAGGTTGTCTGCTGTAACTCATTCCGGTGTGCCCAACATCGAACGCAATATTTTTCTGATGAGTGGCCAAGCGCAATGTTAAAGACCGCATACAAGTGGCTTCCGGGCGACGAGCGAAGTTTACTAGGAATCTAGTATACTCCGTTCACCCTTAACCCTTTGCGGTCAGATACTCTGACCAACCTAATGGTCATTCTGGTCAGGAACTATTTTGTACGCATGGGCCCCGGAAAAGTAAAATTATTTCGGCGTACAAAGGTAACGTCTCACACTGAATGTAAAGACAGGAAAGTCCGGGAGATTGTTTGTGTATTAACTCCGGAACAATGTTTGTGGCGGAGCGGCTCCGCGGCTGCTGTCTTGCGCAGTCTTTTTATATTCATCACTACTTTCACTCAAGTCACAGAGGTCGCCTCTCCATCATCTGATGGAGGGATATAGTCGTCCTCTTCACTGAAATCGTCGTCACCTTCAATTACATCATGCAGAGAGTTACATAAAATGAGCGTGGCTGGAACGTGGCTATAACCATCGTGCCAGCGAAGTTGAAATTTGTGCGCTCCTCCGTTGCGCTAAAAAACATACAACATAAAACATCTTTTTTTTTATTACTGGTCCTGCCCTCTATGAGAAGAAACTCGAACCCTTTTAAGAGTGATGTGATTGAAGTCTTTTTCAAGAGATGGTGCCACCAATCCAGCAAAAAGAGTGAAGGAGCATGTTTCAAAGAACAAGGGAACGCGTGATGGGTGACGCCCGACTCCTGACCGGAAGTGCATTTTTCCGATGTCGGGCCTGGCCCAACACATGACCGCAAAGAGTTAAGCTGAGACTAGACGCACCGCCCTCAGCGTGAGCTGGCTGGCTCCTGCAGTGCTTTGGTTGTTTGCGTGCCTGCACATTCACACTTTCCTTAGCTAGGGCAGAAAGCTCGCACTGAAGGCAGAGCTTCTAGTCTCAGCTTAATGGTGAACAGAGTACAACCAAGCAGTGTGACGAGCAATAGCAAGCAATCGGGCCCAGCAACGACCCAGCCCGTCGTTGATCACCAAGTTTTTCGCTTGCAAATCGCCAACGTGATTAAAGTGCCCAAATGCAGGGAGAAACAAGACCGCGACGAGTAAAGTATACACATGCAGCAATGGATAAGACTGCGATGGCCTTGCTGTGTCAGCTCGGCATTTGCAGAAGTCACGCTGAGTTTCAACTACATTTATTTACGTAACAAATGTGACAAACTTGCATGGTCAATGAAATCTAGGCCATAATCTTTTGCTGTCGACCCATTCAGAGTAACATTCCATCGTATATAACACCCCGGCTGATGGCAAAGCGCAGTATATGCGGTGCTACACATAGTGCAGCATCAGGAAAGTAGAGGCCGGCAACGGCGGACGGGTCACGTGATGTCAAGATGGCGGTGCCCATGCAAGATTGCCTGAAAGCATCTATATAGCCGAAGCATGTTTTCTACCGAGAAAAGTCAAATTGGGTTGCTTGGATATTGCGACTTTCATATCTTCATAGTGAGTGTACGGCCGTTAACCTTGAGTTGTTGCCATGCATCGAACAGTGTTAAAAAAGTACTTGTAATCACTTTGAAATGACGTTTCACCTAAAGATGCTTATTTGAAGTTGGTTTTTCACTAAAAACCAACTTCTGTGTCATTTGACTTAATTTAAAACGTAATCTGCCACTTGTATTTCAAGCACTTCTTGCATGTATTTCACTCGACACCGCTAAGATTCAGCCTCCTCTGTCGCCGCAATCGAATCGCGATTCCACCTGTACTTTGCGTTATCCTTTAACACGCAGCTGAGGAGGTTGCCAGCATTTGACTATACGGGATTCTGCCTTCGGCAGCCTCGGGCTCCTGGTCAAGCAGACTTTGAGCCGGTAAATGCTTTGACTCTGGCTTCGGCCACTCTGCAGCCGTCCCGGTGATCGTGGTAGGGGCCAACCTGGCCGCCCAGGTGCTTGAGGGGTTCCGCCTGGAGAGCTGGTGGCTCACCCTTCGCACCAGCTCGGGTCACCTGTCCAACTACTTCTGCGCCTTCTGCGTCTCCCTGGCCATCATGACGGCGGTGAGTTCGACCTGCGTGGCGACTCTTGCCAGATTGGTGCACGTTCGGGGGCAGCTCAGTTAACGGTTGAACAATCCCTCGCCCGACTGCACCGCTTTGAATTAAAGTGTTGGGGCTCGTTTCGTTAGCCACCGCTGCGCATATTTCGAAAAATTTGTTACAGTTCCTCGCGTTTCAGGAGCCCGGCGGTCTCGTCATTTTGTATCTTCATCGACCCGAGTCGAGGCGGGGACGCTTTCTGCGAGGCTCATTTTCTATGAGGCCCGTGTTCTGCGAGTCATGCTTTCCCCAAGGCTTCTTTTCTATTAGACCTGTTGGTTCTTATCCGCACAGGCTTGTAGAAACAAATCGAGAAGCTTTATGCCTTAAATATCGCCTTGTGTCAACAGGCGCTGGCGTATGTGTTTTGTTTGTAGGAAAAGAAACCATAAATTGATAAGGCACCATTCTTGTGCCACCGCTGGTGGCACAAAAACCATCAGGTTTGGGGTCTCTGCTGGTGGCCAAAGGCGCCGACGGTACCATGTCTGTTAAGAACGCTCTATAAAACGTCGGTCGTTATATAGGATGACTGAAGTCACCAGGCTCCATCTAATATCGAACATTGTTAAAATTACGCACAGATAGAAAGGAACAGAGAACAGAAGAAAGTTTAAATTGCTTCGTGCAGGCGGCCGTCTTTACGGTCCATATTTTAGATTGAGCCTGGTGATTTCAGACACCCGTAGGTGGTCAAATATGTTGCGCCCATATGAAAGACACTTATACAATAGATTCCTAGGTGTTTATTTTTTTTTTTAATGAAGAGAGTTGGAAGAGCATGATTTAACCCGTGGAATGAAAAGTAGACATGTCATATTATAGATTCTTTTCTTTTCAGATGCAGTAGGTTTTTGTATGTTAACCGTCTTGCACAGGCGTGTCCTGTATGCAGGTTGAACATTGCTCACTTAAGCCGTGGTCACCGCTAGTACAACGTACAAAAGACGGCCTGCAGACAGTCTGAGGCATGTTTCTTCCTCGTACTATGATGGCACTGTCAGATTAGAAACCATCTGCAGTCGTGTTTGGAGCACACAGGCGTATGAAGCAAACGTGGTTTGACTGTGCTCGAGGCATGTCCACCGACACTTCCGTCACCGCTCCTGCAGTGAATACTGTGTCCCGTATGACGTACAAACACTGTGACTGTGGCCTCGAGCAACCGTGACTAGAAATGCGAAAAGCATTCGATGTAGTGACCTTGAGCTTGCAACCAGCGACACGACCGTAGTCGGCGTGGGTTAAGAGCGAAAGCTCCTTCCCACCTCTTTCCATTTTAGCAGAGCAAACGCTGGACAAGAGGTCGCCTCCTCTCCGGCATTCGCTCTGCCGAAGGGGAGGGAGGTGGGAGGGGCCTACACTCCACTCTTGACCTGTTACCGGCTACGATATTAACGACTCTGTAGCACCCTTCGGCTGAAAATCCTTTGCCGCTTTGTCCCGCAGCTTCACCTGCTCCTTTTCATGACGGTGAGAGCGGAGCTGCGGCGGCAGAAAACGTTGGGAACGCCGAGGAAGCAAGTGGCAGCCAGTCGGTGAGTACTGCACCGCTGCGGGATGTCTCGCCGTCATGGTCCCTCATCTCCACGATACAGTGAAAGTGCCAACTAGAAGGAGGGATGCCCTGCACAATGTTCGGACTTCAAATTTTTGAAGGGGTATTCGGGGGGTGGGGTCTGTTGCATTTTAGCTCGGACTTCAATGTGTTTCTGCCCAGCACACTCTTTTAAATAATCTTGTCACTGCAGTCTGTTTCCTTGGGTTTGGGAGGCTCAAGTTTAGGGATGAAGTTTAGCTTGTTGCTTACATGTTTTTTCTGTTGTTGGGCAGCCAGTCATGCATGCTTAAATGGACATAGAACTCTGTATTTACCCTCCTCTGGGAAAAGATTAAGTTGAAGCTAATCTGACATGAAGCAATTTATATACGGCAGTTGAAGAAACCGATTGAAAGAATTGATCTGCATGCTTGCTGGCGGTAGGCGGTGGTATCCTTCCAAAGTTTCAGCTTCAGCAGTTGCAGAGGCAAAACATTGGCAGTAGAAAAACATAACTTTTGTGTGGGAGCTGCTTGCTGTAAAGTCAGAAGACAACACTTGACGCTGGCGAGTCTATAGTCTGTGTCACTAGTTGTATGCAGTACAGGCAAAGGCGACGCCAGGCATGGGGAGAAAGGACAAGCACAAGCAAGGCTGGGGAGGACAAGAGAAACTTTCTCTCCTCTAATGTTCCTAGTGCTCTGCCTTTCTCTGCTCGCTTTCCATTGCCCTCCTTTCTTGTCCTGCCTTCCTAGTGCTTGCCCTTTCTCTCCCCACCTTGCGCTGCCTTTGCCTGCACTGCACACAACTAGTGACACCGTGTATAGACATCTACGTCGTCAAAAGTATAAAACCTAATGCCAATCATTCTGGAGTTTCAGCACAACCATTCTTTTTGCTTCAAATAAACAGCATAAGTTTTTAATGTTTTTTTAGGTGTGAATATTTTTGCTTCAAATTGTGCGATATCTTGTGCGAGCGCTGTAAAAAGAGTAAATATGTCATTAATTTTTATTGCAGCACGAATGCTGCAATTTTGAGCCACTACTTATGGACCTATTTCTGTTTTTAAATAATGCCTTTCTCTGTTTCAAAGGCCAGTATTTATTGTATATTTCCATCAAAATTACCCTTCCTCATAAAAAAATAACGATTCTTATTCACTTCTCACATCGGTCACTGCACGCACGCTGAAATTTCGAAAGCATATCCCCATCACCTCCAGTTGCACCTTTGTGCGAAATGCTGATGCTCCCAGAAAACAATGTCAACGTTACCATTGGGAAAATTGGCTCGTACAATGCAATACACATTCGAGGAACAGCATGTCAGCTTTCTTTGAACCCGTAATTCGAAGCATCCCAAGCTCAACAGAAAAAAATATTTTGGGTCAACGCTTTTGTCGAATGGGCGTGTGCCATACTGCGTCTCACCGTAACTTGGCAGACGGCAAAGGCTACAGTCCCAGCGAGCCAATCGGCTCATAGGAGGGGGACACGTGACTATGTTCCATCTCACTTGTTGTGTGCAGCGCCATTGAGGCCATGGGCGGGAGAGAGAGGAAAGAATTTTTCTTACAAATTTTGGGCAACGGGCTAATTTCCGAGGGGACAAAAAGCGACGTCTCGGGCACAATAAAAACGGTCCTGGTTAGAGGGGAGTTCCTTATTTCCCTCTTTTCCAACTGCATGGATGACGGGCTTGCCCCCGGAACTTCGGTAAGGCCGTCGCATGCCACACCGCCTCCATCGCTCCGATTGACTCAAAGGGGCCGCTGCGTTTGCCCTTTGCCAAGTCACGGCGAAACAAAGTGTAGCGTCGAGCGATGTGTTGTTGTCATCCGACATAATACGTGCGCCGAAAACTCTCGCAGGTCTGGGCTTCTGAACGGCTCGATGGCCATCCTGGTGACTTTGATCGGCATGTCGCTGGCCAGCATCGTCTACGTCAACATGGAGGACGTGTTGCGCTCCTACTTGCTGGCAGCCACCTCCTCTCTTCTGGTGAGGCAGTCGCCTGATGTCTCGTATGCTTAGTTATGAACAGGGTTATAGATTTTCAGAAGATACCAACGAACCCTGAAACTTGATTCCGAGCCAAGAGAAGAAATACGTTTTACGGAAAAAAAACCTCTATCTGCATCTCCCCCCCTCCTCATAAACTCCGAAAACAAAACCCTAATTACGAAAAGGGACAAAACAAAATTGTGTGTTTGGTTTTGAGCAGAACTAAAGTTCTTTAACCTTTTGGGGTCCCGGAAAACTACTAGCCAGCCTCCCCTCAGACAACTGTCGGTACTAACTCTCGGTGTGGTTAACACATTCGGCTGCAGCTTTTGCATTTCGCCTTCACCACCACCTTCCAGCGAAGTTTCACCGCTCTGCGACGCGCGGCCCATTGGTGCACCGAGAGAAATGCCCGGTTGTTTTATAGAGCGGAACTTGTTGGTTTGCGGACCTTATTGAGACTGACAATTGTGGGAAGGGGTCAACCAATGTGTGAGTGAATAGGCCTGGCTAGAACCTAACGGCCGCTCGTTGTCTCTTTGCAGGGGCTTCTTGTTTTCTTTGTCTATGCTGTGGCTGGCCGGCGGAAAACGGTGAGAAAGTTTGTCCGCTCCCGAGAATACCCCGAAACCTTTTGCTGTTTGCTTGAATCTAGCCAGAATAGAAGTCTTTAGTGAGTAATCTGACAACCTTGATGAAGCCAGATTAGGTTGTTTCCAGATAAATAGTGAACCTTACCTAATATTGCACGCTAGGGACAGATTCCTTTAGATCTAGACATATGCAATCCGTAGTGATGCGACTGGAGCAAAACACAACAAATTCACTATGCCTCGACTCTTTCTTCATTAAATGTAGCGACGAATCGAGCTGTTTATCGAGGAATGCTGTAAATGATGCATACGTGTCTGCTTTTACTTTTAACATACCTACCGACCTGCTTTGGCCTCATGGCTGGCAGTATGTTAAAATTAAAATATACATAAATAGGTCATAGACCAGATAAAAGTGGCAATTATTTTTGAAGACTTCATTTTTAATGCTTAATTTTAGGGGGAGAAATAAAATAAGTTTCACATTTGCTCCCTGTTTCTTCCACAGTCACGGGCTCCGTATGCAATGTGATACATATCGTTGACTTTTTCAAAGGTTCTGCGACGGTGCTCAGCAACCAGACTTGGTTGTCGGTGGACAATTGTTGAAAACTGCGCTTCCATTGCATGAATAGAGTGTGTGTCCTGTTTGCAGGCATCTCCCATGGCACTGTCTCAGCAAAGGAGCAGCCCCAGTAAAGGTCAGTGTTGATTGCTGGCAGAGTGAATTGTGTGTTCACATGTGATGTCTACAGGATGTATAGCACCTCTTGCCACGACACGTCTTACGGATACCTAATAGTAGTATTTCTGTTCAGGGGGCTTCAAGTCAAGTACGAAGTAACAAGTTGATTTTGTCTTGAGATAAAAAAAAAAAGATTACATTTGGTAAAAAGTATTTCAAACTAACGACATTGAACACAATTCAGTCTGAAAAGTCAATTCAAGTATGTCTTCAACATAACCTTGCAGGATGTTTTTCCTCCCAAGCATACCTTTATTAAGCAGAAATAAATTCAATAAAAAATTTGAGCAATGAAGTAACTCTCTTCTTTGTGAAGCAGTTGCATTGCGTCAATAGTTCTACCTCTTAACAAGGACTGAAATTTGGTGTAGCTCTCTCCCCGAGAAGTACTATTCAAAAACGTAATCCGCATAAAGTACGAGTACCTGCTCCTACTTGGACTAAAACGAGATGTCTCTCTCTGCACATCCTTGAGCAAAACACAAATAGTACATGAAACCCACTTGTACAGGTCTATTCTGAAGAACCACTAAAGTCACGTAGGGATGGGAAATATTCAGTTATTACGAATAGCCAATCGGAATTCTGTTCTATTCGGCATTTGCTTCGAATCGAATTTAAGTATTCGACAATATCAAATTATTCAACAATATAGAATTATTCAACCTTTCTAAATACAGTCAAACCCGGCTATATCGAACCCGTTTACATCGAAATATTCCTTATATCAAACAATCTTTGTGCACAGTAATTTTACAGTGATAATATATAGCAAAAACTATGGTTGCATCGAACAAAAATAGCAGCCGCTACCGATATATCGAACTGCTAAGAGCGCCAATTTGCTCTGCAAGCTGACTTTCCCCCAACGCGAGCAACCGCATTGGGGAAAAGCCAGCTTGCAGAGCACGCTGGCTTTTTTCTTCTTTTTGTTTCTCCGGGCGGCCGCGTCGACCATTCGGAAGAAAAGAAAAATATATTTTGTGGAGGGAGCGGAGAGAAGGTGCTCCGTGGGGGGCCCCCTCTCCCCGCACCGTCTACAAAGCAATTAACGCAGCCGCCCCACCCCCCCCCCCCCCCCAAAAAAAAAAAGAAAAAAAAAAAAAAAAGTTAGCTTGCTTTGCTAGCTGGCTTCCCCCAACGCAGCCACCTGTTTTAGGGGAAAGCCAACTTGCAGAGCAAAACGTCATTCTGCAGGAGAAGGAGCTCCTGCTCGGACGTGCTCCGTGCTCTCGGCATAATTCAGCGCTAATGCAGCGACCTCAGCATTTTGGAATCCGTCGATAGCGTAGAAAAATATCGTTATCGCGGATGCAATGAAGAAAAAGCAACAGAAGATGCAAGACTACTTCATTGTGTAATATTTCAGCAGAAAGTGTTGATTTTTGAGTCAAATTCATTAAAACTTTTATATTGAATTACCCGCTATATCGAACTGATTGACATTTTTTTGCGAATTCGTTATAAACGGGTTTGACTTGCTCTGGCTTGGATTTCTGGCCAGGTGGTGCAAGCTTCCGACCATTTCGACCATTTCGTGCTCCCGAACTCAATGCGGAGGGCAAGTTCGTCTGCTTCCTGCGCAGGGGGGTAGCGGTGACGTCAAAACGCCGAGCCCTGATTGGCTGATTGCGACCCCCTATCTGATCATTGTCTGCTCCTCTGTAGCGTCGTCTGCTCGCAACTTCGTCTGTGTCTGTCTTACCTTTCCTGCGACTTTCGGAAGTGCAGGTCTTTACGAGCGAGCTCGATTTTGGCTTTCAGAGAGGGCAGACGAAATAACTCAAGCTGTACATTGTTTTTATCTAACAACTAGCAGACGCGCATCAAGGAGAGAAGTCAAAAGACTCACTGGCGAGGTGTCCCGAGGCGCCGAGGTTTGTTTCCTAAGAACCGAGAGTGAGGGTGGTTAGTGTCCGGAAGTTTTCTCCCAAATATTTTTTCCCTCTTGTGTGCGGCGAGGCTCCTCACTCTTTAACGGCGTCGGTGGGTTGGCGCAGTTGGCGCAGTTAATGTCGTCTGCTTTACGTCTGCAAGTCAAAGCAATGGCTGCTTTACCTTTCCTGCGTCTGTCGGAGATTCACCACTTTTTCACCGGCGAGAACGCGGCCTTTGAAAAAGGCGAACGGAAATATCTTGAAGTATACGTCCTTTCTTTTGAGGTGAAGGATTTCACTCTAGTTGCGAATGTCCAGGCGTCGTTTAAGAATTGTAGCTACGCGGTAAAGATTATGCTCTCCGATAAAGGTGCCATTTTAGAGAGTCACTGTGAGTGCCCTCGCGGGGTCGCAAAGTGCAGCCATATGGTGGCTACAACACTTTACGCGGCTCTAAATGGAGTGTCCAAGACGGATCTTCCACAGCAGTGGCTGCAACGCCCCAAGAGCAGCATGCAGCGGCAGGTCGCTCGCTCAGGTAAGAAGTAAACACCATATTCATCGATATGTTAAAACGTTTAGTTGCTCGAGTTTCGTGAATGGTACCTCGCGTTTAATGAGGTGTTCAAAGATAATCAGCTAAAAACAGATGACAACAGATGTAGTGACTGTACATAAACAAATGCGGCTGTGCGATCGGTACTGTGAGCACATCATAGCCCAAAAGTGCTCAATCGCTGCTTGTTGTCACAACTTTCTCGCTCGACTAAAAGGCTGTTGTCAGTTAGCGTATTGGGGTATGTATGTGTGGCGTAAACCCAAGTGGCAAAAGTTTGAAAACCTGTGCTAATCTGTGGAAGAAAATCTGAGCAAGATCAATCAAGCTACCCGAGCGGCGTCGATTGTATCGTGAAAGTTATGTCGTAGACTTGTTGACGCCAAGAAGTAAAATTTGTTATAATGTAATTAAATGCAAAGGTGCAAGCGAGCTGGACAAGAATGACAAAAATAATCCCTGGAGAAGGGGAATAAGAAGTACGAAGGGCAAACACGAATCTTTTTCGAAGGCCGCGTTGTCGCCGGTGAAAAAGCGGTGACTCTCCGACAGACGCAGGAAAAGAAAAAGCAGCCATCGCTTTGACTAGCAGACGTAAAGCAGACGACGTTAACTGCGCCAACCGCCGTTAAAAAGTGGGGAGTCTCGCTGCACACGAAAGGAGGAAAACAGTATTTGGGAGGGAACCTGCGGACACTAACCACCCTCACTCTCGGTTCTTAGCAAACAAACCTTGGCGCCTCGGGACACCTCGCCAGTGAGTCCTTTGACTTCTCTCCTTGATGCGCGTCTGCTAGTTGTTAGACAAAAACAACGTACCGCTCGAGTTATTTCGTCTGCCTACTCTGAAAGGCGAAGTCGAGCTTGCTCGTAAACACCTGCACTTCCGAAAGTCACGGGAAAGGTAAGACAGACGCAGACGACGTTGCGAGCAGACAACGTTGAAAAGGAGCAGACGAGGCTCAGATAGGGGACTCGCGATCAGTCAATCAGGGCTCGGCGTTCTGACGTCACCGCTACCCCCTGCGCAAGAAGCAGACGAAGTTGCCCTCCGCATACACTTGAAATGAACAATTACAGTACTTCTAATACCAAATAAGGGCAAATATAAAGCTATAGTTTAAACATATCTTGTGGTATTTGTCGCTTGTACTATTCAAACTATTCTATCCGAAATTACTCGGCCAAAATACTTATTCGCTTCGAATTCGATTCGGACCCAAAATCTTCTATTCGCCCATGCTTTCGACTTTTTATGGTGCAAAGTTGGTTTATTTGCCCTAAGCATCCTAGAAAGCGAAAAACTACTATCATGTGTGGTTGTCTCCACTTAAGAACACTACCAAATATTGCAACATCGTCCCTTTCTCAGATATATCTCAGAAAAAGGGCGTGTCGCAATGTTTAGCCATAGTGTTTAAAAATAAAAAAAAAAGGGTTGTGCAAATATTTGAATTATAGAAACGGGTGCTCCTTCTCCACAAAGCACCGATGCTCGGTAAGAAGCCTGCTCAAAGTAGCTAACCCACCGCGACCAGGACTTGGAAAGGTGCAAATATTGCAGTTGTGTGCTTATGAAGAAAGCACACTTCCTAAGTGGGATGTTACATGCGTGCCCCTAGTGTACTTAAGAAAAAACAAATTTTGTGAATGTTGATATCTGTACACTACAGTAAACTTTTCAAAATTAAACTGTGGCTATTATGCACAAGAATACATCAGGCAGAGATATCCTGACAACCTGTATCCATTCTCCATTATTGTCTTTTTTACAGTGGAGCTGTTAAGGGCTAGGTTCCCGAGGATCGTGTCCGGTACAAAACACGTGTCGACAAAAACGTCTCTGGACAGCTACCGCAATCCATAAGCGACGGCAGCAAGCACACAAACAGTATGGTTGCCGCCGTCGCTGGTAGATGGCGCCAACCTTTCCAGCTATCATAGAAGAATGGATAGTTGGGTGGCGCGTTGGTGGGAATTCATCGTAGGAAAGAGCACAAAAAACAGACGACGACAAAGAAGAAGCACACGTAACGAGCACAGCGCTCGTCACGTGTGTTTCTTCGTCTTCGTCTGTTTTGTGCGCTGTTTCCTACGCTCTTATCAGTTTCGGTTGGGACTCAGGATGGGTCAGCTGCGTGCCCTTTCGGGGAAAGAAGACTGGCTGCGGTAGGAGCGGCGACGTACGCAGCAGCGCGAATGGGTCCGTAACCGCCGCAAAGCCGCTGTCGCCTTTACTTCCACTGCGTCGAGCGCTTCAGATTCCCTTGCCAAGGAAGAGCACATCGCTTGCCTGGAAAGCCGTTGCCGAGAACAGAACCAGCGATGTAAAGGGCACCGGTGGGCCAACGCCACGGACGACGATCGTGACACGGAGGCCAAGTGCAAGCGCGAGGCCCTTCTACGACTGCACTCCACGCCGGCTGAACAGTTCCTGGGCGCGACGGCGATGTTCCGGAGGGAGTTCGTGGATTACCCGTTTGTCGTCACGTGCGCCTTGTGCGACCGGCTCTGGGTCGCCAGAGACGTATCCACGATCGGTGGTGTGTCTGACGAGAAGAAGCGGGAAACGGGCGAGTGCGCGTTGCGGCAGTGTATCGAGTACAGCTCCGCTGATCTTCCCTCTTAACGAGAGTGGAAAGGCTGAACGTTTTTTTTCTCTTTCACATTTGAGATCAAGGAAAGGATATTTCCATATCGCAAGAAGATTTATAAATCTTCAAATATGTATAGGTGCTGGGCATCTTTATACCGTATTTACTCGAATGTAACGCGACCACGATTGTAACGCGAGGGGTAACTTCTTACAGCGCAAAAAAAAAAGAACACGAATGTAACGCGAGTTAAGTGAGGGGAAAAAAGTACCTTAAAAAGTACTACAACGTGGTCCGCGGAAGCCTTTTCGGCGGGGTTCACACTTGAAGAGCACTTCACGCTGGAGCCTCCACCCACGGATAGCCGATTCTGTCACATCTACCCGTCGAGTCGCGGCAGAGTTTCCGATTTCCTCAGCCATCATAATTGCACTTCTTTTACAGCGGGCGTTGTACTGAGCTCGTCGCGTCGCCAATTGCTAGAGTCCAGTCGCGGAAGCAGCTCACGAAACATGGACAACACGGGCACATGGGTACGGTAACTCTAACAGAAAGAGAGAGCGTTGTGAAGGTAACCCGCAACCTTCGCAACTCTAACATGGGCGCATCGAGTCGCAAATAAGAATAGGATTGGATTGGCTGTTTCCAGCGTTTCTATGTTGCCAGCACAAGATTAAAAGATCGCGAGATTTGTCCTAGCCATTTTAAAGAGCCTGTGCTGCGACACTGCCAAGGCAAATTTTGAGGCGTTTCGATTATAACGCGAACCGCCAAATTAGGAAAGGGAAATTTGAAAAAAAAAACTCGCGTTACATTCGAGTAAATATGGTAGGTTTAATTTTAAGTCAAACGCGTCGTTCACTTGCCATTCCGATGTCGGACTTTCTGAGGCCATAGTAGTTCATAAATATAGTTGGATTAAAATTAGCCTAGAAATGGAGAACTAGAAGCTTGGGAACAATACCCTTTACGAGTTCAGCTGGGTCTTCGTTTAAGCATGGTGCAGTCGTGAAAAGGCTTAGTGAAACCATTCAGTATTTGTTTAGAAAACATTCGGCCAAAGCCACCATTTGCACGTGCCCATAAAAGACCATGCCCTGATTGTAACTTCGGGTTTTCTAGGATGCCTGGGTGTGTAGATGGAGTGGATGCCGTAAAAAGACAATCTCATAATCCATTTAGGTGCTCTTAAAGGCCACAGTCACAGTGCCCATACGTCGTACAAAGGACACGGCGTTCGCCGCAGACGTGATGACAGCGTTCTCTGCGCACACACCTCACGCATGTTCAAAGCATGTTTGCTTCACACAATACGCATGTTTCTAACAAGACCATTTTTGTGCAACTAGCATGACAAGACTGTGCCATACAGGGAAGAAACACACCTCGGACCAAGTCTGGAGACTCTTTTCTACGATGTGTTAGCGGCATGACAGTGGATTTAGGGCACGAGGTACTCCTAGGTATTACCAACAATACGTACAGAGCGTGCTTGCAAATCTATATGATAGTGGTGCTGAGACTGGCGGTCGCTTGCAGTGTCAATGGGCCCCGGCGGCCTGTCCCTGCTGTCGCACCAGGAGGAGGCGGAGCGTCTACTCCAGCAGACACCGAAGCGGGGAGGGGACAGTGCGACGGGAGTCCTGGAGTTGCCTCAGCTGGATGGAAGTCCTCGTAGCTCTCGGACCCAGGTGCCTGTCGCATGTCGACTCTCTTCACTCTGCCACGTTGATCTTGCACGTGGAATTCTCCTTGTTTCGAAGTTTCTTTAGAATATGTTTAAGGGCCAGCATCCGCGAGGAAACTGTTATGCGATGCCAGAAAAGCGTGTCACAGGCGCCGCCGACTGTGGCGTTGCGGAAACGCATTGCGGGAATGCTAATTCTGACGGGCGAGGTATCGCACATGGACAGTGGTTGCGGGACATTGTCGGCGGTCGCGTGACGTCACTTGACGTCATCAGCGTGACATGGTCACTTGACATAACCACGTGACACCGTGGTGTCGCATGTCATTATCATCCACTTTCCTCGATGTCCATCCCGCGGCAAGCTAAACCAGCCCTTAAGAGGGCAAGACATTCAGAGCCTCCTAACACCAGATGTAGAAAGCAGAGGGTCACATTTCATAACCATGTCTGTTTCCAGTATTGTGTGTGGTGAGGCAGCCAGTCAGCAACCATGGCTGTAGCTTTGGCTGCCAATGAATATGATTCATCGAATGTGGTGTGCCGTCTAATTTGTGCAATCTACAAAAAAATGGTTCTCGAAAGCATGTCGTATGGAGTATAGGTATGTCACAAGGCCCTTCCAGAAGTGATTGGTGTAGAGTTATTGTGGCCAAGTTCTCGTCAGTTCATTTTCAGCGTTGTCGTGCATCATTGCAGGAGACGGAAGAGTTGGGGGACAACGAGGCACATCCTCAGCTGGACCCATCCTTCAGCGCAACGGCCGTCTGACAACGGCCGTGCCGCCGAAGAGTCGATGGGCAGCACAGTGATTGCCCCCCAGATGGCAAGAGGAGCAGCCAATCCCACCCCCCCCCTGCGATTCGCACAATCCCTATCGGCCACAATGGCTGTGGCGTTGGCCTGCACTGCAATCTCTTGAATTGGATGCGTGCGATTACCATTCCTCTCGGTTGCCCTGTGCTTTGCTCATCCTTCAACTGCTCAGCATTACTAGATCAACTAAGTTGTAGAAGCGCCTGAAGACGCCACTTGCACGTGCAGTGCCACCCTTCTTCCCCAAAGCTTTGCCTCCCGTCGATCAAAGCGCCACGGTTTTGGAGATGGCCGTTATGGCAAATATACAGTGTAGAATACACGGGTTTCGAAGCACAATATCTAGATGGCACTTCACCGTGGCCTCTCCAAAGAATACAGTTTTCAAGCCTAGCCTCTAGTTGGCGCTTCAAACGATGGGTGGTGGCCTCAGTAAGGAGGGGGAGGAGTTTGCTTCTCCACAAGAGTTCTGCAACTCTGTTGATTCAGTAACATTGCAATCATTGCACGGGTTGTTGGCGCATGTTCCCGTCTCTTTGAGGTGCTTTTCCGTACAGGCAAAAGTGGGGGGAGGCACATCTTCCGGAGCTGTGAGCTTGTGCTCGAAGCCTTCACTCAGGTTGGGTATAGAAGGACGAGCACAGCAAAGAGTCACATTCATAAACAGATAATATTTATCTGAAGGTCTCTTGTCCACCTTCAGTTCATCTGGGGCAGCGAGTATCCCATGCGGCACGCAGTGTCGATCGCGTGCAAGCGGGAACTCGAGTAGGTGCTCGAGTGTCTTCTTTTTTGCATCTACCCGTTCGTAGCTACGCTGCAATCTTCTTGCAGGCTCTGATGCCCCAAAGTGTGGGCATCATTAAAAAATGCTGCCCTTGGAGGTGGAGAGCTGCTTCCAAGGGCAGCAGCCCCCCATTGCAATCGAGTAAACGCACGCATTCAGTTTTGCTCATAAGCGGGCCAACGCTTTCGATGCAGGCGCGTTACTTGATCCCTTGTCGAGTGTGGACCCGCTTTGAGGTCTTTTCGTGACATATCTTGTGGTTTGATCTCTTGTCTGTCCGTGTTTTGTTTTAGTGGTTCCCTCCTCCCCCACCTGCTTTTGTTTGCGAGTTTTAGGCCTTTACGTTTTTTGACTGGAGACAAGAAAGTGGCATTTCCTTGTTTGTGGAGTGCAGGGTAGCAACAGTTGGCAGGTATTGACACATTGACTTGCGGTGCTACCGATTGAATGCTTTACTGCCATTTTTTGCTGTACTTAAACCAACAACGTAAAGTAGAAGTTCATATTGCTAGCTACTAACACTATTTGACTTATTTTCCAGTAAAGTACAGGTTGAGATCCTAAAGGATTAATCGGAGCGAAGCATTTCAAGGGTGTTATTTTTCGCAAAAATAACAGGTGATGCTATTTTTCCAGTATTGCGTTCGAACCTTTCAAACACTGTTCGGAAGTTAGAATCATTCAATCGGAACAAGGCAATCACTGTGTGGATAATGTCAAGTGCTCACCACGAGTGGTTCGATTTATGGGCGCACATGTAAAGATGTATTCCATACTTGTAGTAGTTAGACCGAAGTGTTGTGTTTGCACCCGCATTTAATTTATTTTAGGTGTACATTTCTTCTTGTAGAGTGACCAATGTTTTTAACTAGGGTGCCGTGTTTCTACGTGTAAAACTCGGCCATTTTATATTGCCGCACTACTCTAAATTAAAAAAAAAAAAAAAAAAAAGACGTCTAGTCAAGTCGCTGAGTCGACTCGGTTTTTATTCTGCCCTTTTTATACGAATAAAGAAAGTTCTTTCGAGTACACGTGTTCACATGAATTATCTGCACTCGCTCCACGCCCCGCACACATCTTCCGCCGGATTCTGTCCATTTCTTTAACCTGAATACTGGAGCCGGCTGACGACGCCAAGTCCGTCTCGTACTAGCGGAATCCCTTCTGCGATGCCGCGATGGCCGCCTCGTTGGTCTGCATCTGGAACTCCTGGAAGCGCTGCGAGATGCGCTGGTTCATCTTCATGTACTTCTCCATGCAGTTCATGGCGCACTTGTCCTCCTTGTCTCGCACGTGACGCACCGTGAAGTCGTGCACGCAGTCCGAGAAGCACAGCTCCGACAGTTTGTTGTACGAGACGAGAAAGTCTTTGAACTGCTTGATCTGCTCCGCCTGCGGATCGCCACTCGTGATGGCCGCCATTTTGTATATGGCGCTCTGCTGGCAATATGGATATACAAATATAGAATAAGACCCGATATAATGGGTGGTAGCTTGCGGCACCTGGTGATAAACGTGTTTTTTTTTTGTTTTTTTTTTTTTGCTGCACGAATATTACTGTTACATTAATTTAGCCAAACGAAGAGGGAAACTGCGTGTATGTGATCGTGTTACTTTAGGGCTGGGGTGTTTGGGCCGTTTGGGCGACATGGGACAGCAATAAAAAGCGAATAGACACCACTTTGTCGCATACGTAATCAACTCGCGTGGGAACTTCAAATTGGAATCTTTGAAATTGTCTTCTTTCTTTCTTTCTTTCTTTTTTTACGTCGCAACCACCTTGGTCGCAACTGGGTGGCACTCAATGTATAAATTGCGAGGATGTTGTCTAGGAATCCCTTTCCGTCGTTGGGTCCTTTCTTACGTTTAGCCTCGTAATTCGTGTGTTGTTGTTTTTCTCGTGTTCTTGTTTTTTTGCTGCTTGCTGAATGATGTTAATGAGCACATCTGCATTTCTTCCTCTTACTTGAGAGCTAAACCAAAACGAACGATCCGCCAAGGTAACCCGGCAGCCGCTCTGGCGATCGGCGTACTCTCCAAGGGAACGCGACACCGTGTTTGCGTGTCGAGTGCATCATGCTGCACGCCTCTCTTGGAGGTGGGGCGCTGGAGAAGTAACTTGTAGGGACTCCTCAACTGAATGCTCGCCATGTGGTCACGCCACGCTTTCGCCGCACTCTTCGTCTGTGCCATGGCGTGTTTAGGTGAGCATTACTCGTTCCTTTCAAAGTTGCTTATTCATAAATTTGGTTGCGTTATTTTGAATCATGTTAAATTAACCTGAGACTGGGGTAGCGAAGAAACACCAAAACGTAGAAGGGACAGAAAAGAGACAGAACGACGTCTCAAACTCAGCTAACACGTTTATTTAGTCCACCTCCTTATATAGTCTCAATCGCAAGCTCATCTCCACCAACACAAAAAGAAAGTATCCGTCACACAATGCAAGAACGTTGACAACCTTTACAGGTCGACGTGATAAAGGCCCGTTCTCACTCTTGCGACCGAGTACGACTGAGAGAGACGAGATCTCTTACAACCATCCACCTTCAAACTTGAACAAAAGGATTTCTTCCCCTATTCTTCTAAACACAGTTCATACTTCTAAATCCTAACACCCCTTTCCACATACAAAAAAAAAAAAAAAAGAAGCTGGAACGGTAGTTGTTGGGTTAACACACGGAAAAAACCAACCAAAACAAAACGTTTTACTTTTTTTTTCTTTGTAAAATCACAAACAGGGTTGCACCTCAAAAACCTTTTTACATTTTTAGAAAGTTTTTCGAATTCCTGCCAAACTGTAGTGAAGCCTGACTTATGTTTGGAAGGAATTCGAAAAGCTTTCTAAAAATGTAAAAATGTAAAATGTTTGTATTCATCGGAAAGGGAACCAGCCCCTGAAAGTAGCCTTTGTATCCATCGGAGGGGGAACTTAACCCACTAAAGTCGTATATGTTTCCGTTGGAGGGGGAACACTCTAATCTCCCTCTCGTGGCTTCCACAACGCTAAGTCACAGTAGAAAGATAAAGCAAATATTCACAGGAAGGCAAAACCCTCTCCCGCGTTGGCCACGACGTCACGGAAACGATGGGACGCTATTGGATGCGGAGGTGGCGGAGGGATATATGCATCCCTTTGAGGGGCATTTTCCGCTACCTTCTTGACCTGTATTTTTGCACGTTTTGTGCATGTGCACAGACCCTACTTGGGTGGCGATGACTGCTGTGAGACGCTATCATTGTATGAACAAACTGCGTCAAAAGTCAAATGTTGTGTTAGGGCTATGTGTGTCACGGAGTGTTCATCTGTTGAGTTCTCAAAATGAAAGTACGAGGACCTTAATATTACGTTTGTAAAAATCATATTTTTAAGCAAATATTTTTTTGCATACTTAATGATATCTTCAGTAATGCAACCCAATAGTGGAGTTTGCGACCAAGGTAAAAATTTATAGTTGCAAAAGTTGCTAAATACGCGAAGCATAGGTGACAAGAAGGAAACATTATAAAACATTTTTATTGTTCAGCTTTATTCATCTATGGTCACGAGGCATGAGTTGAAAGAATGTTCTGTGCGCTAAAAAAGGCGGTACAAGCATGTTCGCAACAGGGTATGGCGCGAGCTCACACTATATAGTCTTGAAATGCTGTTTAAATTTGCTCGCAGCACATTATATGAAAGTATAATTATAAAAAAAAAAAAAAAACATCCACACAAAATAACATATCCGGCGGGTCACGTGTTAAGTAGCGTTTCAATTCTTACTTGCGTAACTTAACTCAAACAAGCGCAATTACAAGAGCGGCATTGTGTGCACGCAGACGCTATTGGAGAACCCGCATGCCTCCCTGCCTTGGAAGCTTCAAGCAGCCTAGACGAATAAAGCAGTGAAGGAAAGAAAAACTTAATTGAGGTGAAGGAAAACACGGGGAGAGAATAATGGTAGCAAAAAAAAAAAAAAAAATGCACAGCCAATGCTGCATTGCAAGCAGTCCCGTGACATCATCTAACAACGTCAAATTATAAGTGCAGCTGACCGCCAGCAAAGTCAGTAGGACTGTTTAAGCCTTCCACCATTTTAGCTTCTGCACCGATTCTAGATTTTTATAGAAAATATAGGGTAAGAGAAAAAACGGCGCTTCAGGGGCACAGACGCCATTTCCCCCTTCTAGGTCCTTTAATGGACCTTTTCCGAGAAGCGTTCTGCGCACGCGCGAGCGCCCGATGCCAAGCGGCGGAAGTCGGAACGAAAAATCGAGGAAATTCGGAAGGAGGCTGTATATCAGCGAGTAGAACACGTAACTGCAGCATATATATAATTGTGTTACACAAAAAAAGAACGTCGACGGGAAGGAAAACGCGACGTTTGGGTGAACGCCACGGATTCCCCTCTTTAAAAGTCGCGCTGGGCACGCGCAGCTGCTCAGAAAGCGAAGAAACTGGTAGCGTAGCTCCCTATATCGATTGGTAGCGCAGGTAGGTCACTTCCTCGATTTTTAGTTCGTGCAGCTATCGCCTGGTGCCGTCGGTATCTTTCGTCGTGTCACTGCGGAGAGGTATCACCTCATGGAATGTGTTGGTTGCTCGGCTGGAAACAGATATTTTTAGTGTTTTCGCGTGACAAAGACAGGCATGACATGGCCAGTTTCCCATCGCGATTCTCTTAATTTCCATTCCGTATAGAATGGAGGTGGCTCCGCCGACGACAGAACTCGAGGAGCGCGATAAAGAACGCATTTGGGTCCCAATCCCATGGACCCCAGCTTTGATGGAACTACCATAAAATGCTTACTCCGTTACTTTGTTTGTTGAATTTTTTTAGTTTTTCAGGTCGAAGAGTTTGTTCGGGCTAACAGTGTCGCGCTCTGCATGAATTAACTCTGCCGAGAGTTCGACTCAGATGTGCGTCGCGTCTGATTAAAACGCATACGTGTAACTATCCGGTGGTTCCGGGTGGATCGTGAATAGCCGCTGGCGACTACGACAACGAGAGGCGTCTTCGGTCCGTCTTGTTCGGGGACTACGACGCCGGTTGTCGTCCCGGGACAGAGCACAACGGGACCGTTCATGTGAGGGTGTCAATGGACCTACTGGACGCCCCAATCCTGGTAAGAGACATCTACTGGAAACTACAGTGATATTGCAATCAAACTAACAAAAAAATGACAACCTTAAAAAATATATATATATATATATTTAACTGAGAAGAAAAAACCCTTTGTGAAAACAGCAACAACGGGCGATTTAATCTTTGAAACGTCGAATATATATATATATTCGACGTTTCAAATATAATATATTCAAATATATATATATATATATATATATATATATATATATATATATATATATATATATATATATATATATATATATATATATATATATATATATAGGCGTTTGTGTTTAGACCAGAGTCGAACCGAAATTTTTATCGGTTAGAGTTCGGCTTCACGGCTTTCGGTTCAGTTACGGTTATTTTCCGGGGAGCAAAAAATATCGGTTACCGCGGTTTGAACCGCTAAATTGAGAAAATATTTTCCGCATTGTTTTGGCAATAGGCACGATTTCCACCGTGAAACGAGACTTAATGGCTTTTTATCAATCGTACAATCCACTTTTATTTTCAGGCACCAAAAATAAGAAATTGCGCTTTTTAATATCAACAAAACAAAAAATAAAAAAAAAAGAAGAAGTTAGATGAACATAGAAAACGTCGTGTTTATAAGACTCAACATCTATTTGTTTACCTCGCCGCATATATTTTACCTGAATCAAAATGTTATCATGGAGTCAAAAATACCCGTGATTGGTACAACTTTGCGTCGCAGTATTAAAAATAGACTCATTTTACTCCTTGACAACTTTTCTTGGCAATGCAGTGGAAGGTACAGGCCCGCGTCCCCTCTCCCATTTTGAGTGTGCGCGGGCTCTCCTCCTCTCCCCGGAAATGGGGGAGGAGGAGAGCCTGCGTACACTCAAAATGGGAGAGGGGACGCGGGCCTCTACCTTCCACTGCATTGCCAAGAAAAGTTGTCAAGGAGTATGGTTGTGCTCTTGAACATAGAAATTAATTATAGTGCATAAAATCGTGGAATGGGCACCTCCTCGCCTTATACTGGGTGATATCAAGGAGCGGACAGGCTCTTTCAGTCTACCGCAAAATTCGGTTTCTTAACCTATCGCGTTCCGATTTCGTACAGCGTTGGCCACAGGCGGTGCTTTTTTTTTTTTTTTTCTTCTATAAAATTTGCAAAGAGTGAGCTTATTTGAGGAAAAAGTAAAAACAGAAAAAGGCTTAACTCCTATGGAAACGCAGCAAAGCCACCGGTCTTCGAACCATAGGGAGGCCGCCAGGGGGCCAGGAAAAGTTGTTTCTCTCTCTCGAACCATAGGGCGCCCTATGGTTTGAAGACCGCTGGCTTCGCTGCG